CTTGCAGCTAGTACAGAGAACTGAAAACAGTACATGCCCCCTGCCACAGCGCCTACACTCACTAGCTGGAATCAGAAAAGGTTACATTCATCACTAAAGGGAATTAAGATGTTTAATTATCTATGTGATGGGGGTTCTGACTGCCTATTGCTGTTAGTTCTCTGTAAAGGAAACATTTTCAAAATAATAAAACACATAAGTGCTGTATATGGCACACTGTATGTTGCTTGTAACTTTGCCATTGATTAGTAAATAAACTTATAAACTAAAAGTGTTTAATCCTGGCATACACATAACTAGGATATGTTTCCTAATTATTTAATATTCTATTCAACATGTCACAGACTTGAGGCATAAATAGAATATTCATGAGCACATTTAATAAACAAATGAACTAAACAGCTTATAGATTTAGAACAACATAACTGAACTGACAAGAACTGATTTACCTGCCAAAAGATGGAGAGTGTATTTGTGTCAAAGTGTGCGATATAATATACTATAGTATAATATAATATATACAATATGTAGTTCTCTGCGGTTAATATATTTTTATAAACAGTGCTTCCCTTTTAATAGTACTTTCCTTCTTGTAATTTCCTACTTTTTCACAATTTCCTGATATAATCTATATTGTTATTATAAATAAATAAATTAGGAAATTTAATAAGAAAAACAAACAGTAAAATGAATTTAAACAGAAATATCTGAGAAAAAGAGAAATATATTAGTATGTAAATAAACAGAAAAATAAATGTTTTAAAGTATTCAATTATTGTTTATTTATTCATACAGCACCAACACTTCATTGTATGTTTTGCATTGTCTTAAAGATATTTTAATCTAAAGGTATATGCTTTAAAGTTTCAAAGTTGTTTCCAATATGAATAAAAATATTCAAACTGAACACTATGTACAGATTTATGTCCAATCATTTGTGTCTTGACGATTAAGAGTGGGGTCTGAATAGCCATATTTGAAAGAAAGCCAATATATCTGACTGGAGTTATTCCTTAATTCCTTATTATATCTTTATTCTGATTGAAAAAATGTGGGGAAAAATTGTTTTATGAACTTTTTGACTTTTGACTTTTTTTCTGCATTTCTTCATGAATTCAGTTCTGGCAGTTATGAGTCTACTAGTCCCTCCATTAAGTCTGAGTTTTACATTCTATTCAAGCAATTTCTTTGAAGAATTACCATTTTACAGATTGCAAGGGGGGGGGCTCTTCTTAGACATCTCAAAGTTCTGGCTATTTGTGTTCTGTTGTTTAAACAGCTGCATTTGTGATTATACAAAAACTAACATTACAGGTGTGTGGATCAGTTTTTTACAGCAATAATTCAGGATGTAAGATATAATTTGTGGAAAAAGACAAAGCCATACATCATTTCCAAGGTCCAAGTATATAAAACTCTGTTAAAACCTCAGAATAATTGACAGTCTCCCAGTCCTTTGGAGGTAGAGGAAGGCCTGAATGAAACTTCCAAATAAGGCAATACATATAGTTGTGGAAAACAGATAGCAGTTATACAAAGTTGTAAGGAACACATCGCGGAACAAGGTAACTATAACATACGGAGAATAGTTCAGCAGCTGCATTATCTGAAGAATAGCAACAACAACAAATGCGTTTTTTTTAATCCTGTTCCTTTCTTTCTCCCTCTCCTTCTTCTTTAGCTCATCTCCTGGGCCGTTATTTTTCAGAGCTCTAAGAATTGAAAGGCTGCAGAATGACTCAATGCAAATAACAGGTAGCAAATACACAAGCAGTACATGAGGATTAAGACTGAAATGATGTGCAAGGCTAAAGACCAGTGTTACTGGCCAAACCACGAACAGGGCAATCACCTTATATCTCATTGGTCTGTATTTCAAAAAGGTTAAAGGGTGGACCACGGCCAGATAGCATTCAGAACATACACAGCATTGTAATATTGGGTGCCCATAAAGACACAGCAAATGCACCATCTCATCACAGACAGTTAAAACCAGATTGTGTAAAAAGCCATCATTAAGGCACCCATCAATCCTTACAAGGACACAGACCATGTCCAAACAAATAAGATTAAAAAAGAAGAGTTCAGTTTCCAGGGTCTTGCGAGGTCATCTGATTAAAAGCCATAAAGCCCATGACACACTGGGCAGCGCCAAGGTCGAATCAACAATGTTTAATGCTAGCAACAGTACATTCTTGGTGTAGGGAGGACACGCTGATGAGGTACTGGCTGTGACAAATTTATATCCATTTTCTTTGGATCTGCAGAGGAACAGCAAAACACGGCTTTGTATCACTGTGAATTACTATCCTCTTAGCAAAAGGGTTTTATATTCTCTCTCTCTCTGTCTCTCTCTATCTATCTATATATCTATATCTATATATCTATATCTATCTATCTATATATATATATATATATATATATATATATATATATATATATATATATATATATATATATATACATATATACATACACATTAAATGTGTGTGTATATATATATATATCATATATATATACACACATTAAAAACTAAACATTTATTATCAATTATACTATTAAATTGAATCAATGGATTGTATACAAGCTGAAAGCCATGACTCACCTCACACAAGAGAGTGCTGCACTCTGCCTAAAGATGAAGGGGGTATCTATGTCTAAGTAGACCTATGGTGTTTGTTTATTCAGTAAAAAAGCCCTCCCTTGCACACCTGACAAGACAGACGGAGTGTGAGACACAGCACAAAAACCATGTCTAAAAATATTTGTCATAGCACTTTCATATTTTCCATATTTATTGAAATCTTGACATGTATTTCACTGTATTCATCTACTACATTATTGGTCAGTATGAAAGAAGGATACATAGCACACAGAGCAAAAGTTACAACGTTTATTGATAGTGGTAGAGAAATTAAAAAAATGTGTATAAACACTTCAATCGGACTAGACTAGTCCGGGAAGCCATTCAGAATACAATTTCTATCTCAGGTGGGTAATCCTGTAAATAATTTGTTACATAGAAGAATACGTATGTTTCGCCCATGCTTGTTTGGATCATAGCAAAAGTTTATAACGTTCAACATGGCGGGAGCAGAAACTGGTCTGCAGAGGAGACAAAGTTTATACTTTGAACTTTAAAAGACGGCGGTGAGACGGGTGTCCAGCCAAAACACCTAGGAAAACAATGCACAATGTGTAAATCTTCAAGTCGTTGCAAGCCATGCACATGAAGAAAATGGACTCCTGCACCGACAGCACCTCAACAAGCTACGTTTCATCATCATAGATTAATTCAATATTCCAGAATCCATAGTATCCACTGATCTTCAAAGTGTGAGACGATCTGCTCTTCTAGTTTAAATAAAGAAAACATTAACAGTTTTTTTCTGTCACGAAGACTATAGGAATGCCCCATAAGCAACATATTTGAACCTATGTGGGAACACACTGTATTCAAATATGCTTGTCAAAGCTCATCAGGCGTATGTGACCAGCATGTGGTCTTCAGCAAACATTTCCTTTGTCAAACCATGTACAGGAAATACTTGTTTTGCTAAGCTATTTGTGTTGTGTATTTAATAAAGCAGGGTTGACATGATGTCCAAATGGAAACATGATGGATGAAAGGCATTATAGGGCTCAACTCAGAACCCTCTGTCATGAATTCTGACATCCACTCTTCTTTTGTAAGGTATTACTTTAAGACAGTGGGAGGGAATCTGCTTGAAACGTGAGGACAATATGCTTGATACGCATCATTCCGGGAGGAATTTAAGGAAATGACATCCACTTCAAAGCAGGACTAAGGTGGTAAGCAAATACTCTTTGAAATTTGTACTGCCTGTTTGCCAAAGCTTCCGTTGAAATATGGTTCATTAGAGGTTGCATGAATTTCCCTACATCAATTACAGTATTTCTCCTCTTTTGCTACTGTACAGAAAATCTGAAAGTGATAAGGGAACTAGACCTCACAAATCAGAGCAATTTCACTGGATTTCTATATATAACAAAGATGCAGCACCTTTAAATCCTTAACTGTAACCTTTCATATAAGGCAAGGTATGGCTTCACTAAACAAGTGCACACACCACCACCAACTTCATCCATCCATCCATCATCTAAACCGCTTATCCTTCTGGGTCACGGTGAGCCTATCCCAGCTGTCATTGGGCGGAAGGCAGGATACACCCTGGACAGGTCGCCAGTCCATCGCAGGGCAGACAGACATACACATTCACACACACACACTCACTCACACCTAGGGGCAATTTTAGCATGTCCAATTGACCTGACTGCATGTTTTTGGACTGTGGGAGGAAACCCACGCAGACTGTGGGAGGAAACCGGAGTACCCGGAGGAAACCGGAATACCCGGAGGAAACCCACACAGACACGGGGAGAACAGGCAAACTCCACACAGAAAGGACGCTGGTCGTCCGGCCAGGGAATTGAACCCAGGCCATTCTTGCTGTGAGGCGACAGCGCTACCCACTGCGCCACCGTGCCGCCCTAACCACCAACTTCAGCAATGCTGAATTTATTGGAACGCCACTCATCATCTTGCTATTAATGCGCTATATTAACCCTAAAAGGAGGCCACAAAAATCCATACTAGATCACAGATGGCCTGTAATTTACACTGCGAAGCCAGTCAATCTAAAGCCTAGTTGCTTCTTGTCTATAGTAAAAAGATTTATTTATTTATTTTTACTTAAAAAATCAACAAAACATGAAATTTGACCAGGGGCATTGAAACTTTTGCACAGGGACTGTATGTCATATGGAGATAAAGTGAGGTATGTAATGAAGACAGGCTGATTACCTGGCTAACTGACAATGTGCCTATGAATGTCAGTATGTAAGTCTAGCCCTACTAAGTTTATTGCCAAAACAACTGACAACAGCTTTGAAGAAAATCACCAATTTATGAATGACAACTCAATTTGTGTTGAAAAATACAGCAGTGATTTATTGAATTAAGTGTTATAGTCAAATACAAAATACATTCAAAATACATAATATGGAGTAGCTGATGTGCTTTATGATTCTGAAGAAAAACATCCTTGAATTGTCAGGATGTTTGCAAGTCACTTTCCCTCTCGTCTTAAAAGTGCAAACTGTCAGTACTCTGGTAGATGAAGTAGTTTTGTCTTATTAAAGGGGAATTCCATCAATTTTTCAAAATTTCCACAAAATGAAATACTTCATATCTAGTCTTTCAGGTTAGTTTGATGTGAAATGCTCCGTTCACTGAGTCAGAATTGTTCACACTTGCAGTAATAGGAACCAAACGTCTGAAGACGCTTCAAAAAGCTCCCTCTCAGAAAGCTTTTACGTGAAACAGTTATGAATACGCTACCTGAAGCCTCAGGCATTACTGTATGAGTTTTGAGGTAAAGTTTTGGTTTATAATGTACTTTAGCACATTTCTAGTGGTGTAGAACATTGACAGTTTCCCAGCCTCTCTTTTTCCCTTAGAATTAAACAGGCTATTTTTGTTACTGTGCCTTTCAGACTGACATATGCAAATACATATGACATATGCTCTGTTCTGATTGGCTGCTCTGCACTGTGCCTCATTCAAAAAGCAGTCTTCAACATAAACGGGTGGAACTAAACTGCTGTAGGCTGAATAGGCAAATATATGTTTTTGCTGCTAAGTGTCTACATATGGACTGCATGGTCTGAGAAATGAACTGCATGCTATGAAACTTTAACAGTGTTTATGTACTACATCATCACTTCCATTTAAAATGGTGAGGAAAATTCAGTTTTCCATGATATGGGCCTTTTAAGTCACATCAGTATTATGTGTCAAGCCCCAATTTAAAGGTTCATTCGGTGATTACGGTTTGTGGCCATCATTCAAACAAAACAAGGACGTAAATGTAAAATAATGTACATAATATAATATCATGCAGTCTATGAGCCTGGAGGTAGTCCTGGAGTGACCGTGACAACAGTTCCTCTCAAAGTTGAATCAAGTGTTTGGATGTGGAGTTACTGTGACTGCACAATGTATGTATTTGCATTGACTCAGCAACTTCTCCATTAACTTCATGTACCTTTGCATTTTATATGACATACATTATAGATGGTTTCTTATGATATGTCTTTCTTAAAGCACTTGTATATATGTAGAAAATGAATTATTTAAATTCATGTAAAATGTAAAGCCCTCTTAAAAATACCAGCAAATCAGAATATTAAGTGACACCATATGTACGAAGATAATAAGAAGGTATATAAATATGTTCATCAACAAAAGCAATGTCTTCATAAGCTTATAGTAGCACAGGCATACTCAAAAGCTTAAAGGGGAATTCCACCAATTTTTAAAATTTTATTTTTGCATAATTCAGTTGTTGAGATGTAAACAAAGTCATTCAGAGTGATATGATGTGAGATGCTCCACTGTAGAGAAACTTACTTCCAAAATTGTCAAAAGTCAAAATTGTTCAAAGTGGTTATTTTACCATTACCAGCATAACGTAAAAAAAAGGAAGAAGACATATGTAGGTTCGCTGGTCATTTTGGATAGTAAATAACGTGCAAATTGTGACCACTCGATCCTGCCACAACCACTGTTAAGCAATCTGACTCTGTAAGTTTTTCTACAATAAACCATTTCACATCAAACCACCCAGAATAATGTTATTTACATCTTAACAACCAAATTATGCAGATATTTAAAAGAAATGGAACTCCCCTAGCCTTAGCTTAAAGAGTATCTTCTCCCTGTATCTGATTTATGTGCAATATGTATTCCATTAGGCATACTGCCGTACAGTACATAAATAAAATCCTGAAAATCAAATTATGCTATTGCATTGACTGCATTGATCACACTAATTCATCAATGATTCAGAATAAACATATATGCATATTTTATATGTTTATAAAATATTTGGCACCAATACCTCAAAAATGTCTTTTGGGAAAGCAATCAGGTATGTTTCATCATAGCTGTAAAACAAAGACAGCTGTGTCTGTGCTTTTAATATTAATTGTGCAGCTCAGGCTTCCACCACAACTGCTGGTATTTTGAATGGAAACTTGTGCACTAATGGAGTCTTTGCCACTGACACAGAGGCTGCCTGAGGTAGAATCACTTATGTTACCTAATAGCCTTATTCACCGTATAGCATCTTTATGTCTTTTGTCTCCTTTTGGCCACCTGTCGCCTGATAACTTTGTTTTACGTTAAGTGACAGATCGGTGCTCCTTCTACAAACGTGTTTTTCACAGCTACTGTTTTCATAGCTGTTTTTGTAAAAGCTTGTAAAAGCTTAGCCTAACGTTCAATGCTATTTTTAATGTTGCTAGCAAGCTGAAGTTAAAGGATTTTTTTTGTATGTGTAATCAAAGTTTTCACTGATACCCATAACTGATTGGCTTTATAGAAAATTCAAAGGCTAGCTAGCTTAGCTAACTTTGTAGCCTACACTACTATCAGCTGTAGCATGGCTGAAGTTTGAAGGATTTGTCAGTAACACTGTTCCACTATCAGTGTTGTTCTTGCCGTATTTACTGACATTACGGCAAAAACAGAAAGCATAACAATATGTTGCCTTGAGCTACATCAGTAAACTCAAGGTATTTATGACAGCTGTGGACAGACAACAGAGGCGAGAATATTTAAACCTCCAAAGGTTTAACAAATGCTAGCTGTAGCCTTGCATACGCTATGTATACATTGAATGCATGACAAAATAAATATAATTTCAAATACACTCTCTAAAACTAGCTATTCTGAATGGGACTTTTGCTAAAATACTGTAAAGCTTGTCCAAGCTTGTAACGTTAGTTTCAAAAGAGTGCATTTTCGTGGGTTGAGCATGGACAGGTCAATTTTGGAGGCCTTCATTATATTATGACATCTCTATGTCACTTTATTCCCTCTTTACATAACCTAAATATCCCTTTGTGGCACTTCCTGACCCTCTACGTCACCTTGACGGAGGATTTCCGTGGGGTGTGGAGCAGCATAACATATGGGACCCCGATGAAGGCCCACCTCTCGCTGGGCCAGAACAGTATGACAGGTCCTCTCTCTGGAGCCTCAGTGGCTGCGTCGAAATAGGCGAAACACACACAGCCCAGGTAAGAGGCCAGACAGATGAGTATGTGCCTGACAAAAAGAAGGATCATTACAGGTAAAGAGATGAAAAAGAATCACAGTGTAACAATCGTAATACAGAATGACACATTAGCAACAGATAAACAATGATCAAACAAGTGATTACACATAATAAACTATGTTTAACCATTTTAACATATAGTCATAATTGTCATTTTGCTATATAACTTATTATATAATCATTACTTAATTAATTACTCACACATATACTAAATATATAAGTATACAGGATAATAACTTCTCATTATATTCAGATCAGAGTACAATATCTTCTCCTCTACTTAGAGACTCAAATGCGCTGAAAGTTTAGAATTTGCATTCCTGACAGAACGTCTACACATCTTTCAATGAGCTACAAGTGAGAAATAATTCCTACATAATTATGCTTTTGTCATTACCAATAATAACTTTAACTTCTAACAGTAAAACAACAGGATCCTCAGGTTTTCACCTTTAAAGCAGCATAAAAGCTTTTCAGCATTAACAGCTTCTGTGTTGTTAGTTAATCTGTAAAAATTAATTTGCAGTCAACATTTAAAATCCAAAACTGCACCCACCAAACACAGTGCAAGTAAGGGAAGTTGATAGTGGACCACATCTCACAGAAGATCTGGTCACTGATCCAGCACAAAAGAGCAAGAGCCCACCAGACTCCAGAGATTAAACCCAGCTTAAACACACGTGGGTTCTCACATCTACATAGAGAAAATGCACACATATTAGATCATCTGCACAAGAGTTTAATGGTATTTATGCCATTTATGAGTGATGAATGAAAACACCACACTTTCACGTTGATTTATTGCAGTATAAATTGTGTCCACTAGGTTGCAGTATAAACAATTACAAAGAACTACAGAACCGTTGAGGTGACTTCACCTTTGACTGTAACAACAGGCCTTGCTAAGCTATTTTTAGGGGGCATCAGCCACATGTCACATGTTATTTGACCAGGGTTTTGCATACAACCGTAGCTAGTTATTGTTATGTTTTCAGTGCAAGTCAATGTAAAACATTTCTCTTTTTGATCGCATGGAATTCATCCATCATGGATAAATTTCTACAAACAGAATTTTTGTACATTTTTTGCTGTTTGTTATATTGTGTGATTATGCAGTGGAGTGAAGTTTGATTGGCTACATTGATATTTGTGTTACATTTGTTTGCATATGAAATGATCATATCGGTTCAATCTTCTTGTAGGCCATGGAAGCTTTTGCAGTTGGCTGTATGGGCTGTGAGTTGCTTAAGGATGAGAACCTGTGCTATAGTACATTATTGCCTTTTACTATTTTTTTTTACTATTAGCATATTCTAATTAAACAGGCAGAGAACAAGAACTAGGGGGATCGAGAGTAAATACTATGAATTATTCTGCAATTACTATGAAACTATATTCAGTTAGTACTATACAAATAACTAATAAGTTCAGCTCTGGGGTTATACTAAGTAATAAGCTCTAGATGTAAAGAATAAAACAAGACAAACCAGCAAAATCAGCATTCAAGAAGTTGTGATAAGCAAAGTACAGTAAGTGACTGATGGCTGTTCCATTAAAGCAAGGCCTCGTGCCAAATGGGACAGGGCTGTGCAGTTGCTGCAGTAACAGGAACTCTAACCCACTCTCCAGAATTACAAAAACAAATAAACAACATCCACAACAGCGACAGGCTGAACCAAAGAATCCAAAACAAACTAAACAATAGCTGGCTGACTCAGTCAATTGCTGAGTGTCTTGTGCCATGACTGATGAGGAAAAGGAAAAAACATGTTATCCGTTTGAGAGCGGAATGGGAATAAGAGTGAATAATCATGCTGGGTCAATGTACTCTAGAACAAAAAGAAAAAGCAGCATGTTCTGGGTTCTGAGAAATGAGGATAGAAAAACTGTAGAAAGTAATCCTACAGAAGAGTCTTCACTCGAAATTTCTTTTAAATCAACAATTTGATTTAAGTGTTAGAATGTATACCACACGGACACTGGCCCTTCATAGCAGTTTTACATTATATTCTACATAAGATACATCAGACATAAGATACAGAATTGTATCCTTTAGCCTATCTGTATAAGAGAATTAGAAATTTTACATTGTTTTCATGTTTTTGTTCATCAGTGTTCTCTCTTTGCAAGCGTGTTACACACTGTGAATCTCTGTGGTGTCAACCGATCCTGACTGCTAGCCTAGCCACTGATTTATGGGCTAATAAATATATATAACAGTAGATCTCGATTTGTGTGTGTGGAAACAGTGATTCTAAACGTTTGAATGGTGACTGAAACATGTGAAGCCTGCCTCCAATCTTGTATAATATCATTATTGTATTGAGATTTTACCTTTTGCCTTCATCCATTTAGCATGGAACTAATACAGTAGAAATAAACCACACCATATATCTTAGACCCTAATTATCAAAGTCAGTACTGTCAACACGTGTACCCTCAAATGACGTGTTTTGTTGATTTTAATAAGTTAACACATCCCCTCCAGGAAACAAACTTAAATATGTAATTTTCTGCCAATTGTCATGCACAATTCTATTTATTTGCTAAATTTTAACATATTGGAAAAAAACATAAAATATAAAACATAAAATATAAAATGTGTCCTAAGTGTTTTCCACTAAATGTGTTAAATTGAGCAAATAAACAGTAATTGTGCTTTAAAATGTTTGTTCTCTGGAGAGGATTTGTTAACTTGTTAACAATAAAAGATCTAACCTGACTAAAATGTTGCATATGGCTGTTTTTTGGGGTAATGAATGTCCAAAATATATCATGGGTTTTCAGTAAATAAACTGTATAGAATCTGAAGTGATGTGCTACTTTTTTTGTGATGTCTGGAGTAAGGTGGGTGTTCTGACCTTCTGAGCTCAGTAATGAGCAGAGCCGTGCAGGGGATGCCCAGAGTCATCAAAGAGACAGAGTTGATCACCGGCTTCACAAAGGCCAAACACGTGGTGACGCCAGACAGCACGCCAACCATCAGCTTAAAGTGAAACCTGCCAAATGGCAAAAAAGCCATGGTTTGACATCATATCTAAATACAAGCTTCAGTTCCAAAACTGCTGGGACAATATGAGAAATGCAAATAAAACCAGAAAGCAGTAATGTGTGAAATACACAAAAACAGTAAAAAAACAAGATAATTAATCCAGACCATTACCAAGCAAAACACACCACAACATAGGCTTTGTATGGCTGCACACTTGTATAATGGAAGAATGGCAAAACCTCCACTTTCAAAACTGGACAAATGGACAAAATTGTCTTCAGTTCCAAATGATTATTAAGTCATAAACATGCTCCTGTCTCAACCTTTTCTGAACTTTTTTTTAAAAGTCTAATTTGGATTAAGTGTATAAAAAACAATGAAGTTCACAAGATAAGACATCACATGATGTGTTCTTGTACTGTTTTCTATTCAATGCAGGTCCAATAGAATTAACTAATCACTGCTTTCTGTTTTTGTCACATACTGTCCCAACTTTTGCATGATGCTAAGTGGTGGGGTTAAAGCTTCCATTACACGATTTTACTGCAAACATGCCTTGGTTGATTAATTATATTGTATTTTGGATTAGAGAAAATCATATCGCTGCTGTCGGAACAAAACCTTGTATCTCCAAAGTGATAACTTTACAGGAGAAACAAAAAACATGCTTTACTTTTAATGTAAGTCAATGGAACCAGACTTTTTTTCAATCCATGTTGGGCCATTTCTTTTGTTCCACTCATCATGAAATTAACACACTATGTAAACAGAAACATGCACTTTCAATTTATGTTAAAAGTGAAAAACGTCAAAAATTGATATATATTTTTTACTTTTCACTCCACAGTGAAAAATTGAGAAAATAAAAGTGTAAATCAAGTTGCCTATACTGCAAATGATACATGAACATGATATACACAATATACACTATCTTGACATGAGGCCTTATTGTCTTATAACTACTAGGCTACAGGTCATCCTTGTGAGCACTACTCAGAAATAGACATCTGAAAGGTCTGCTCTGCCTCTTCTAAATTTGCAGTGGGACAACTCAGTCCCAAAAGCAGCCTCGATTGCTTGTGTCTAAGTAGGCTATAAAGCACTGGTCTAGAAACAGCTTCCCAAACATGAACGGTCACCATGAACATAATGGCCAAACCAATAAACTGGCTTTAGATCAGCTACAAAGGGCAAATTTCAAGGCATGTGGAATGAGTGTCTGCCATGTGGCTTAGGGCAGCGCTGGCGATAAGTCTGACAAGACTATTCTTGGCAGCAGAAGTGGACCAAAAGCCACACGAGCCAGAGTTCAGCAGACAGATCAGAGGAACTGGTGGCAACAAGCTGAATGCTGCAGAGGGAAGGGGTTACTACTTTAGCAACAGGTTATCAGCTAAGAGCAGATACAAGGGAAAAGCAGTCTGATATTAAGCTTTTAGTGATACCTTACACAATATCATGTATGACAAAGTGTAGCCTGATGTAGTCTCTAAAAGGGGAATTCCGCCATTTTTCTAACTTTCCTGCACTCATTAAGATGCAAACAAAGTCATTCAAAGTGGTTTGATGTGAAATGATCTGTTCTAAACTTACTGAGTCAGAACTGTTCACAGTGGTGGTGATAGGAACCAGACGTCTGAATCATTTAATGCCTCCAAAAGCTCCCTCACAGAATGTTATTACAGGAAGTGGTTATGAATACACTGCCTGATGCCTGAGACATTGTTCTACAAGAATTTTACAGAGATAAGATTTCTGCTTAAAACATACTTTTAAATTACACAGAGCGTGGAGAGGTAGAAGCAGGGTGTTTCAAGGCAAAATAGTCCAATGGTAGCCTTTTTCAGATTCACCACTATTTCACAGTGGTTTCAGTGCTTTTGGATAAATAATAATAAAATGGCTATATTTGCTTCAGCAAGTTTTTTCCACAATGAGGTATTTCACATCAAACCCCCTGAATGACTCTGTTTACATATCTGTGACTGAATTATGCAGAAAGTCAAAGGAATTCCCCTTTAAGATACAAGGCATGCCTGAAATTCTAGCTGGAAATGATTATAGATAATAATTGATAGGTAGGTAGGTAGGTAGGTAAGTAGGTAGGTAGGTAGATATAGATTATCTTTTTATAGATTATTCTATATAATATTTTTGATTAAATGTGACCTTAAAGAAAAAGAAATTGTTATAGTTATGGACAAACGCTTCATGAGAATGTATCTCTCACTTTATACTATTTTTATGTGAATGCAGGGCTCACATGAACCTGAATATTAAAATGTATTTCCATACAGTGAATGCAGTTTGCAGTATTCATTGAGAGTGCCAGTGGCTACGTATTCCATGTTCCTCTGTGGCTGTAGCCTCTCTCTCATAGCTACATTACGTCTTGTTTTGAAGGGAACTGGAGATTTCCACTTTGCTGTTAGTTTAGTTCGTTTGCTGTTTTCTGATTTATCCATAGTTTTCTTGTGAGCACCGTCCAATGTGGTTTCCTGAAGGCGTCCCCCAGTGCTAATGTTACTGGTTTTACTGATATTGACAGCATCAGTGTGGTGTTTTGCCTGTAAACGATACTTTGGTGATAAATAAACTCACCATGGTAGTAGCTGGACAGCTTATGTTAACTTGTATTTTTAATTCAATTAAAATTACAATACAATACAATTAACAGGGCTAATTAAGCTCTCTTTGTTGCCTGTATGTCTGCATGTCCTTACCTGTTTTTCTGGAACATTCTGGGCAGGTACCTCTTAGGAAACCACATTGCAATAGCACACATCAGCACCCAGAGGATGGCCAGTTCATCCAGCATCTGACCAAGAAAGCTCAGCGTAGCATGGAAGTATGTTGAGCCAATGCCTATGGCAGGGACATTATTATGAACAATTGGTATTACAGTTCACATTATTCCTGTGTAACTTTAATCATACAGCAGAGAAAAATGTTAAAATCTACAGGGAAACAGCCATCAAGGACTATTAGACAGAATGTGATCCTCACGACAATTCTACCCAACAGTTCACAAAAGTAAATACTTATACTATAATTTAATAATATACTAAAAATGAATATACTAAATATGATTACACTGTGCAAGTGTCTTTTTCATCAGCAATCGTTCTCCTTTTATGGAATTCATTGTAAATCTATAAGTATGCTAGGCAGCGAATGAGACTCATCTGATTGGAGGCAGGATGTTTATGAGGCATTATTTTGTTGGCAGGGATTTCAGGAACTTCAATCATAACAAAGGAGCTTCAGATGAGACACATATCTTTTATGATTTATCTGTGAATGTTATGCTGTAAATGTTTTAACATTCACAAATAAAAGAGAAGTAATATGTTTATTTACTACTCGTTGTCTGTTGTCTGCATGTTGTTTAAAAGTAGCTATTTACAATGTCCCCTGCAAAGATTAATAGCAGCTCTATCAAATAAACACTAAAACCTGTTTATTTACAATTTCAAAAACGAAACAGATATTTGTCATGTGGTATTGACCATCTAGGACAGGGATACCCAAAGTGGGGCCCACAGGCCAAAGTTATTCCTTAGAGACGTTTGATTTGGCCCAGCAGAAAGTTGCCAAATAACCTACTCTCACAGCCATAGAGAGAAAATTTTCAGTAATAAAACATACTGTAATGTTATCAAATCGGACACAGCAGTTACCAGCTAGCAATTACGAGACATTGGAAGAGATGTAGAGAGACACTATTACACAGAATATCTTGTCAGTGAATGTAAAGACAAGGTAGCGTGTCATAAGTAAAAAAATATATATATAAAAATAAAGTTTTTCATTCTCTCTATGTACACTGGCAATGTGTAAAAACATAAAGCTAGCAAGTTGCTTTATGATTAAGGCAGGGTCATGCAGACAACAACAGATTTGGTTTTAAAGGGAAAAAAAAACATTATTTTGAAGTGAAAGTGTGAAGTAAAGTTAGACCTCTAAGGCTCCCAAGATATGGTGCAAACCCCCCCCCCTTAGCATACAGCCCCTGATATATTATTTAGTCAGATTTTCATCATAAAAATACATTGAAGTTTTACTGGTTAGCTAGCATTAGCATGCTAGCTACAGTGATCATTAGCCAGAATTAGGCAAACATTTTATTTTAGCCAACATTTGACTAAATGACAGATGAGTTTGACTAAACAATTATGTTAAATAATAATAAGACGAATAATACCACTAAATGAATTTATATACTATCACAATACAAGTAATATAATTACAACAACCATTTAATTAACGAACAAAGTCAACATTTCAACTCTTTTCATTTTTTCATCATTTGTCCAAATTGATGTGTGTTGTATTTTGATTAATAACACAATTTTTAAAAAAGTGCAAACTACAAATGTGACGTAAATTACACATTCTGTAAAACTGATGACAAATTGGATTCAGGGATTCATGAGGGGGGCTTCTTACCCAAGGTAGGGTGGTGTCTTGCTCCTATAGTGGGGCAGGAGGCCTCTTTTCACAATTGTTTGTGCTAATCAGACGAATGAAACTCACTGAGGCTTTACATTCGGAGCTAAATTAAGCATCATTGAACTACGTCTATTTGATTTTATCTTAATTAATGACAACAACATTAGAAGACATGTTACCAATGTGGAAAGTACAAAGTTCAGGTTTAGAATCAGTTCAGTTGATACTTCTTGGAAGTTATGCAGAAAACCCACCTGTATCTTACACGCCCACTGCTGTCATGTCATGCTATGCGAAACATGGCAGCTTTGTTTGTACAGAGCTCTGACAGCTCTATTGACTTGTTGCTCTAGACGGATTATAGCTTGGGTGAAAGAGGAGGTGACGCCTCTTATTAATCACAGCTCAAACTAAACGGGTGTCCCTTCAATACACTGAACAGAATAGCCCTAAACATAATGTAAAAGGAGCAGACAAATCTGGAAAAGTTACTAGGGAGACGACAACTAATGATGAACTGAACAGAGTCACAGTTTACGTGCTGGTGAGATTAACCATAGTGACTGTCTTGTAGAGTCTGTTTAGTGCTTGTCACTCGATATACAACAACTTACTACAGCACTGAGGTCACCACCCTTTGTTAATCCCGACATAATGAAACGGACAGAAACGTATGACATTCTTTGCACTCTCGTTGCCGCCCTTCACTTCTGTATACACATGCTTTGCATAACAACAGTATGGGTCACTATCAGACAAAACAGATGCATTGTGAAATGCATTTGCTATCTAAGGAAACTGGGGGGGGCTATGATATCGCTAAGGAAAACCTCTCCAACAGTTACAGCGTTATCTGCATAAATTCCACTTCTGTACCAACCAAATGGAGCTCAAGAAGCAAGAAGATTTTAAGAAGCTCATAGTTGGTAAAACTAGAGGCTGCATTGTGGTTCTTTAGAGGAGGAACCCAATTTGTTGTGTAAAAGAACAGTCAAAACTGCAGAAAGTAATTTAAATGGAGGTCAGGTTTAGTGCTATTTTAGTACGATAATATAAAATAAAAATATAATGTCCTTTAAAAGCAGCTGTGGACAATGAACAATGAGTCCATGTCTAACTTTTCACCCATTTCACCTCTCGCTTCTACCTCTTCACCCTATCCCTTTCCGTTTTGCACGTTCACGTCTAGGCGAATAGCTGACTTCAGCTTTACATCACCGAAGAATTTGGGGTTGGTGATCAATAATTGTCCCCCCTCTTTGAAGTCATTTGATTCCCCAAATGTAACTAAACTCCAGCAGTGAGGTTGCTGAACTTTACCCTCCTCTGCTGTCACTGCAGACTGGCAGGGTCGCCTACAGAGCACCACTAGTAGCCTGTGAATGAAGTAATGTTCTTTATTTGAAGGTTGTCCCATTTCATAGGGGAAGATTTCAACCATCACACCTTGTAACTCAGTTCCAAGTGGCAAGGTGACACTCGAAAACAAGAGGTAGGGGTAAAAATAAGAAATGGGGTTGGACCAAAGTACAGTACAGAAAACAGTTTGAATAAAAAGCAGAACGCTTGAAATTTGAACATGAATTTCAGCATTTCTTAGTACTTGGTATGTCTCGTTTTTTTCTCGGCACTCGAGCTGGCATGAACTCCTCAAGTTTGCGAAAAGATCAACTCCATCTAAGAGAAGTCTGAACACAATGTTTGACAGAAGAGACAAGACTCCAAAAAAGTCTGACCTTCCTGTACAAAGGCCTTAACATGGCCATCATCACAGACTTGCTTCAACTGAACAGCAAGTGCTGAAAAAAACGTGAGTTAGGAAAACTAAATTTGAGTCAAGCAGAGTTAACTCATGGTTATAATTCATTATTATATATTATCATTATGCGCAGTGTACCACTAACTGTACCTTATTGTGCATTTGAGACAAATGCCCCTGAATTTGGCCTGCCTGGCTGTGAAAGCACAGCATTTTTCCGCATTTCTTCAGATCAGTCACGATCCAGTTACAATGTAAAGTGAAACACTGTTTGAATCTCTTTAGATCAGGGTCATTTTGCAGTGTCTCTGTGCGAAATTTAGCCATTCATCCAGAAGAGCAGAGGGACTTCCCTAAACTGACCCCATCCAATTACAGCACCATGCTCAAATTCAGTGATCTCTTTACGCGACCCAATAGGACTGATTGACATATCTGAATTCAGTGATTAAAAGGTGTGTCCCAATACTTTTGTCCACATAGTGTGTTCCTATACCCTCTCTTTAGTGTACTGTAGTATAGCCCCATCCATTCGTATTAAAATTTTAATGGGTGTTCCACCCTGCGCTGCTTTTGGAATGAGACACAATACAAGGGCAGCCAATCAGAACAGAGATTATTTACATATATCTGTTTTAAAAACACATGTTTGATTCTAAATGGAGTTATGGAATAACTGAAGTTTGGGAGGAGGAACATGCCTGAAACCCCTCCTCCTTCCAATCTAACGCCCTATAAATTCACATCACCTTCCGTCTCCTGTTACGAAGGTCTCGCAATCCCCAGCACCACCCCGTCTCCTCCCCGTTCCTCAGTCCTATGACAGTCCAACCTCACTTAAAAAGGGGGTCCGGCCTTCTAGTGACAGGCAGAAGCCACCCAGAACTATCGCATACCTTGGCTATACGAAAAATGTCCCATTACTGACCTACTAGTCTATGCTCAACATCTCCATTCTGCAAATGTAAGACAAAAGCCAACACAGTAGTTCTATACCGCAGTGTGAGCTTTCTAAGACCAAAACAGGGCAGACAAAATTAGTCAAAAGTGGTCAGTTAATTCAGTAAAACCGCAAGGTCGGCAACCTTTTTACTAAAAGTCGAACAAACAAAGTGAGAAAAGGCTCACTTACCGACAACAATGAGCAGGGCCCATATGAGATAAATTCCCCGGTTATAATGTGTAGCATATTGTTGGAATAAGCCAATCAAAATGGGTGGCAAGATGAAAAACAAGACATTGCTGATCTGAAATGACAAATTTCATTGGGAAAACATTATGAGCAACTCATCTACCAATATCAACACATGTGAACATCACTGATGACTTAAAATGACAGAATGCTAAGTAAATGTTAATGGCAATAGGGAAGTAAGGTGGATCTCCAAAAAGGGAAAATGTTTAAAACATTATACAACATAAGGAACAACTGCCTTTTTCAAATCATGTCAAAAAATGAAACACAACATAAAACGGAGATACACGGTTTTGACACGACAGCAGCAAATGTTAAGCTTGTAGCTACGTGTGTTGGGATAGAAAAGGCGCTAAACTGTGATAGACCTTGTTATCTTTTCTGTCTTCAAAATGTGGCTGCAAAGTGCCCATTTTTGTCAAAAAATAAGTCTACTTTTTTATTACTTACTCATTACTGGAAGCCCATTCCTGCCATGTAGAGAAAATAATGGTCTTTTATTCCTTCCTTCTCTGTTACACAAAACAGTACGTCAAAATTTTGACTTACTATCTCAGAGTCTAAAGATAATGACATAGTACCTCAAAATTTTGACTTGGCATCTCGAAATAATGCCTTTCTTTCATGAAATTTAACAGCTCATTGTTTCAACACAGTCAAAATGTGAAGAAAATCAGTCATTATTTCGAGATAGTAAGTATAGTTGAGAGTTTTGAGAAAATAAGTGATTATCTCGAATACTATGCGAAAGTATTGACAAAATGTCATTATTTCGAAATTCTAAGTCACTATTTTGAGAAAATAAGTCATTATTTCTGCATATCAAGCCAAAACTGACATGCTGCCAAGAAACAGGAAAATACAGGTGATTTTTTCTCCTGTCTCTGACAGGAATGGGCTTTCAGACCCACCTGAGGTAATGGCAGGGAGACACTATCCACAGTGGGAAAGCTGTTTTTAACAGCTGTTTTTGGTCTCTAACTCGACCGGTCTGCGTTACGCTGAGAAGAACCTGTGAGAGAACCTGCACTGACCGTGTTGTAGAACTCCGCTATGTTGGGGTAGATGAGGTAGTTGCCCTCACACCAGTCCACCTCCGAGGTGCCGGCTTGGAGCTGCTCCCACAGTCTCAGTCTGCTCATTCCTCACTCACACACTCACGCGCTGAACTCCCGCTCAGCTCCACGCGCTGCTCCGCATTCTGTTTGAACCTCACAGCTTCTTTTTATTCTAACGGCTTTTTTACCCCAGAAGTTGCGCGACACTCGCGCTCACTCGCGCGCCGCTTCTCTCCCGGTTCTCGTTTAATCCAATTGGAGCGCGAGCCACAACACACGGCGCGTGCTCACGTGACCAGGCCCGGCCCCTCTTATCACACGCTCCACAACAAACCGGGCGACCGGTCAAAAAGTCACTGGGAGAAAAACCTGACCGCAGCCTCAGGCTCTGTTACTGACGCCTTTTGTTTTGGTCAGAAATAAAATGAAAAAAAAAAAAAGTAAAAGTAAGTAAGTAAATAAATAAATAAAGAAAGAAAACCTTAAATTGATTAATTTGACTTATTGCTCAATTAAAATATATATATATATATATATATATATATATATATATACTACAACATTTTTGTTTTTTTGATGAAAACATTTTCTAGACATTTTATGGTTTTCTTAGCCCTGATTTTTTGACTATTTACTCTCATTTGGTGTATTTGATACCATTCTTCAGCTCTTTATTGGTAAATAATACATGTTGTCGCGTTAAAAATAAATAAATAAATTCAACAAATTCAATCAGGAGAAAAAAAGTCCACATCATGCCGTGAGGCGATGCGAATCCTCGCGATACTTTAAGTGTCTTTGTGAGAGTACGAGGCGGATATCCGGCCTCTTTTTCGTGGTGGACTCCGGTTGAGACGGTCCTCCAAAATGAAGGTGAGGACCAAAGAAGTGACGTTTTTACGTATTTTAACTTAAAACTGCCACAGAAATATCCACAGAATCACACTGTGTACATTTTAAGCATGTCCGTTCGTCTTTATAAAACTCCGATCTCTGTGCGAGTGAAGAGGATGAGTGTTGATTCTGTCAGACTCGCAACTGCAGAGCGGCTACTCAGATAAACATGGCGGAGCCTGAAGAGGGAACGTGCGAGTGTTAAATTGTGTTGAATAGCGCTGAAATAACCACAAAGAGTGGCTGTCGCTCGTTTAAAGCGTTTATTAGAATAACCGATAGCGTTTGGTCGTTACGTCGGCGAAAAATAGGTTAATTAGCTCTGCAACGCGTTGAATTAGCTTAGCATACTCATGAAACTTTAGCCTGTGAGTATAACTTCAAAAGCTGAGCCTCGCTTTAAACTCCGAGTAAGAGCGGTTGGAGGGTTCAGTCCAATGTTAAGAATGGCTATCTTTGTAGGAAAAGAGAATTTAAGGTGGCCAGCTGGTTTTACTCATACAAAATGTCTCGCTTGTGAACTATATAAGGACTTCTCACTAACCTACACTGTGCTGTCTTATTTCATTTTAACAGCTCAATATCTCGTTTCCTGCCACTGGCTGTCAGAAGCTTATTGAGGTTGATGATGAGCGCAAGCTCAGGACTTTCTACGAGAAGCGCATGGCCACAGAGGTCCCTGCAGACCCTCTGGGAGATGAGTGGAAGGTGAGTTTACATTTTTCTACATGTCAAAGATTTAAAGGTGTCTTCACATCTTATGTTTCTTCTAAAGTCCCTCTGTTTTGCTTCCAAAATCTCTTGGAAGGCTTTACACTAGATGATGTAGCACTGCTGTGAGAATCTGGTTGTGTTCAGGAGCATCAGTGAGGTCAGGTAGTGATGCTGGATGATTAGTTTTAGATCAAAAATGCCACTCCAGCTCATCCCAAATGGCGCTCAGTCTCGCCAGAGGATGCTGCTCCACAATCCAACATTGGGGGATTTATACCCCTCTAGTTGATGCTTGGCACTGGGAAGGTTGACCGTAGACTTGCTCCACAGCATCTCATTCAATTGCCACTGCATCCCTGTGAAGGTTATACAAGCTGTGTATGTGCAGTTGAACATGTGATGGAAGCACCTCAAGGTAGCTGAATTTAAAGGTGTCCGGATACTTTTGAACATAGTGTTCTTAAAAAGACTCTGTATGCTGGGTTACTGTAGTGAAAGTTTATTCTTTGCTGATTTGGTTAACTTTTTATTCCCAGGGCTATGTTGTGCGCATCAGTGGAGGCAATGACAAGCAGGGCTTCCCCATGAAACAGGGTGTCCTGACCCATGGGCGTGTGCGTCTGCTACTTAGCAAGGGTCACTCCTGCTACAGGCCCCGTCGTACTGGTGAGCGCAAACGCAAGTCCGTTCGCGGCTGCATCGTTGATGCCAACCTCAGCGTGCTCAACTTGGTTATTGTCAGGAAAGGTAAGTGGAAAGGATGTAGTTTTGGAATTGAGTGCAGATTTGCTGCACTGTTTAATGTTTAATGCTCATTTGAGTTAGGGACAAAGAAAGGTTGACAAAGGTCACTTACATGTATTTCGTATGTAAAAAGAAAACATCAAGCTGTTAAAGCCTTTAAATGCTTTGGAGTAGAGATTCCATGTGCTTGGAATACCTTGTTCCTCAAAGCCTCATTATTCTCTGTAGGTGAGAAGGACATCCCCGGGCTGACCGACAGCACTGTCCCTCGTCGCCTGGGCCCCAAGAGAGCCAGCAAGATTCGCAAGCTCTTCAACCTGTCCAAGGAAGATGATGTCAGACAGTATGTGGTCAGGAGACCTCTCACTAAAGAAGGTGAGGTTGCTTTGGCCAAGATTTTGTATTAACGCTCTATGTAGAGGACATCTATGGTTGTTGGAGTTTTTTTGTGTTGTTGGTTGATAAGATTGAGGCTTGCTGAAGAGGGAAACTCACAAGATTAAGAGGATTTTTTTTTGCAAATGAGACTGATATTTGGGGTCAAAAAGGAACAAATGTTAACATGTGAGCCTGAAAGTTAGTTTGAAGTTTACAGACAGTGGAAATTTAATTGAACAAACTACTCTGCATTGCTTTTCAAATACTCAGTTACTTTATTTAACAGTGACTTAGGAAGACATAAATGTCCAGCTGTGACCAAATCTACTGCATTTAAGTGGGTGTCTATCAAGTCTTACTTGCTTTAAGAAAGTTCAGTAGGAGAATTTAAATATGCAGTGTCATGCAAATTTGATTCATCACTGTAAATTCATCAGAAAGAAAAATTTAAATGGATTTTTTTAAACATTGATCAATCGTAATAGCCCTAGTTCAGAGCTTCAGTCAATAAGTACTTCCACTGTCATGTTAATGATACAGTAGCGCCTAAAAGGTAACACTCGTAATGTGTGTAAACCTTGGTATCTCAGGCACACCAGTAGACCCTTTCTGGCTGGCCAGTAGCCTCAAAGGGGGGACAGTGTGATGCCATAGCAACAGGGGAGCTGCTAACCGGATAACAACCTGACCTTTCACACTGTGGCTGGTTGTACTGCATTGCTCTGTCATAAGTTACAGCAGGTTAATTTTGCTGTTAACAGTAAGAAATAATATACTCTGCTGGTTTTGATGCATCATTAAACACTACATGCCTGGTTGAATTCTGCAGGTGTCGTTATAAATGAAGTTCATGGGCTTTTCTAATGCTAGTATTAGAACATTTAATGAACCAGCTCTAATGAATCTAAATATTGCTCTCCTCCTGGTTAGGTAAGAAGCCCAGGACCAAGGCCCCTAAGATTCAGCGTCTGGTGACCCCCCGCGTGCTGCAGCACAAGCGCCGACGCATTGCTCTCAAGAGGCAGCGCACCCAGAAGAACAAGGAGGAGGCCGCAGAGTACGCCAAGCTGCTGGCCAAGAGGATGAAGGTACGGTCTCACTCAGCCTGGAGCTTTCTCACGGGCTATTGGTCAAAAATGTATGGGCTCCTAGACGACAAGAGTCAAAGACAATTTTTGTAGTTTTTTGTTTATACACAGCTTCATCAGTTGACTGCTAGGTTCAGATGCTAGAGCAGTCAAGCTATGCTAGACTCTGACCGCCCTGGAACTAACTTGTGTGCATTTCTTTTTACCCTGTCCAGACACTTTTAATTGGGGTTAAAAAGGGTCAGTGTAATTAAAGGAATAAAATGTGTGTTCGGTTTCCATTTGGCTAACTGCTGGCTGGTGTTTAGTACTTGGTAGCCCTATTGGTGCTTTTTTTTTGTTGATCTTATTGAAAACAAATCTCATTTGTTGTCTCTCCTCTGTTTTGCAGGAGGCCAGAGATAAGCGTCACGAGAAGATTGCCAAGAGACGCCGCCTTTCTTCCCTGAGAGCCTCTGCGTCCAAGTCCGAGTCCAGCCAGAAGTAAAACTCGCCCCCCCTTGTACATCACAATAAAAAATCAAAATTGTGCTGAATACCAAGCTGTCTGGCTTTATTTGCTTTTTCCTTTTTTGAGAAACTTTCCACTTATTATAATTGGTGATTGTAGTATAATAAAAACAAAATATAGTGTAACAGATTTTTTCTAGAAGTCTACATAACAGAAATCGGTCTTGCCAACCCCCACATTGAGTTGTTGCCTTTGTAACGTTAATATGAGAAAAGTGGTATAATGAACTAGAAATTAACGTCTGCATTGAACAATAGCGCTTCCTCCAAAAAACCTGCTGAAGTGAACAGAAAGGGTGAAATTTAGCGTTTGGCCACAAGGTGGCAGCAGAAGGCAAATTTTGTTATTGTAAATGGGTAGAGTTGGCATTTGGTTAAAGCCGTTTCATAATTACACTCCAGACCTGTATTTTATCACTGTTCAGAGTGGTCAGGGACAGCCTTTTACAACGTGTGGTCTACACAACCAACTACAAGAGCTTATGTGGCCCATGAAAACATTTTTACAATCCAGTTGTTTAAAATGCAAAATGAACATAACACTGTAGCCCATCAAATTTTGCACAAGTGTTGAGTCACAACAAACATCAAAAAATGTCTGGAAAAAATTCTGTTCACTGACATCTAATAATATTGGAGCACTTTTTGGTGTTACATAGAACTATTTTTGAAGGGTTCTTTAAAGATCCATATTCAACTATCAACGTAACTATTTGATCATGCAAAAAACATGTATGCTTTGAGATTGTTTATTATAAAATCACTGCCTTTAATAAAGGACCATTGAAGAACTATCCTTTGAAAGAGTGCAGCTGTTGATACATTATGGATGAATTCCATTTCATTAAAAAATTTGCACTAAAAGTATCTGTCATCTTCATCAGCCATGCATTTAGCCTGGCCAATAAGGTCCCCCTAGCAGTACCACCACAGGCCACTGGGGGGGCTGTGGTCCACAGATTGAAAACCAGTACGCTAGTACAGTTCATGTGAGTTGTGTTTTTTTTAAAGACTTTAAAAGAAAAATCATAATTAGGGCGCCCCTGGTTTTCTAAAATGCATGATGTTCTTTAATATCTTTACATGCATCCAGCTACATACGGGGTATAAGCAACATAGACCTATGACTATTCAGAAGACCATATTGAATCAGAGGTTTTAGGGTTGCAGTGACTGCTTGTTGACTTTTGTGTCATATCTCTCTCTCCCTCCCTCCACCCCCAGGCTAGGACTGAACGACTTGGGAGGAAATATCAAATTGCGATTACTTTCTATAAATGAAGCTCCAGGCCTGTTACTTTATCCAGGAATAGGAGTTGATCCACTTTTCTTGCTTGAAGCTTGAATGTTGAACATAGAATGCCAGACTGCAGGTTAGTTGTGGTTGTGATGCCACAGCACATTGGTGTTTGGCTGCTTCTGACTGGTCTAACTCATTATTAGGTCATGTTTTGCCACTTGGAGGCATTAGACCTCATTCACCAGTATCTTCCTACGTTTTTTCTTGAATGTGTTCTTAAGAAAGGCCCTAAAAAGTCTATGTCAGATTCATGATGTGTTCTTTAACCACAGAGTTAGTGCGCTTGGGTCTGTGAAAACATTGGTGAATGTCAGAATCTTCATGAAAGCTGCATACGTGGGTTTTAAAAAGGAATTTCTTCTTAAAAGAAGAACTGTTGGTGAATGAGGCCCTTTATTGTTGATAATATGGGCTAAAATTAAAATTGCAGCTCTTGGCATTTGAGAATTGCACTCCTTCGAATTGTAATTTCATTATTAAAGCGATTAATCTTTCAGCACTACCCCAGGCGGCACCGATGTCCACAAACTCCTCCTCCCAGCTCTTACAGTTGAGCATCAGCATGCGCACTCACAGAGTATGAAAAGTTCATCCACTATAGCACTGCTGCATTAGTCTTCTACACAAGCTTGCCAAGTGTTCATGCCAGTGAATGGAGAGATCTTGTACCCCCACATTACAGTGGAGTTTCCAGCCACTAGGGAAAACACCTGCAGTCATTCCCTTATTAAATGGAGGGGCATTGCAGCCTAAAACTAGAGTTTTAATTTGTCATTTGTTATGCATTCTTTTGCAGCACAGCATTGCATCCCTCAGCATTAGCTGTTTGATGGAACTCACGATTTTATATTGTTTTCATCTTTTTATTTGTCAGTGTCTTTGCACTACTGTACTACTCGGTGCATTACACGAGTACATCATAGAATTATTGGGAATCCCTGTGGTGTCAACCAGTCCGAACTGCTAGCCTAGCCACTGATGTATGGACCAATAAATACAACCAAGCTTGCATTAGTGTAACTCCAATGTCAGTCCCTTTCTATTAGAAATGCTTTTCTATGGAGGGTATACAAGCTATGTGAGCGCAGTGGGTTCACTTGCGTTAAGTATCTGAATTCACTAATTAGAGGGGCACCATGGTTACTTTGGACATGTAGTGTATTGGTCACACTTCATTTTGATGGTCCCCTATGGATGATCAGTTATTAGAGTTACTGAGCTCTGCTAAAGCCTGAGTAGACTGATAAATCAATGTGATGATCAGTTATTAATCTCAGTGTTAATGAGCTCTGCTAAAGTCTGAGTAGACTGATAAATCAATGTGATGATCAGTTATTAATCTCAGTGTTAATGAGCTCTGCTAAAGCCTGAGTAGACAGATAAATCTTTTGTGATGATCAGTTATTAATCTCAGTGTTACTGAGCTCTGCTAAAGCCTGAGTAGACAGATAAATCTTTTGTGATGATCAGTTATTAATCTCAGTGTTAGCGAGCTCTTTTGAGAGATGATTAAACTAATAAGGTGCTCAGCAGTGGATATGTTTGCAAGTGATAAGCTTGGCATCATGTTGCATGATGAGAGAAAAAAAAAGTTGAGGATTTTGGAACTTCACTTAAATGATAAGCAAATTTTTCATGTAATAATAATAATAAACATTAATGTTTAATGTAATAACAAGAACAGTGAGAAATCATGTGAATTCAATGAAATAAAAAGTCCATGGGCCTCACCAAGATGGATTGCAAATGTATTCTAAATGTATTCTGAATAAACTTTTTAATGTACTGTTATGGAATACATAATTAAAAAGGCCTACATTTAGGACAGTGTATTCACTATTCAGCCATCAGCACTTTTTCAAAGTATTTTGCTCAGTCCTGCTATCTATCTGAATATCATGCAACTCATTAATCAACATAAAAGTAAAATGTGCCAGTGTTAGCTAATTTCCTGCTAATATGAATATGTATTAACACTAACGTGCCTCTCATTGTGACTTGTGCTTATTGCGCATCACTTCCTTTGCAAAGTCACTGAGGCTTTTGGCTTGAGCCCACCAGCAATAGTTTGTCGACCACAAGAGGGCGTCGAGGACGGTTTCCCTCCAAAAAAGCACGTGCTGATTTAAGCTGCTGGTTGCGTTGCTCGTGAACATTACATTACAATAGCGCCAAACCCACCCACTCCCAACCCCCCCTCCCCACCCCCCCGGACCATGTATGGAGGTCCGCTGTGTGGTGGGAGCGCGTGTTTGCGCCCACGCCTTCGCTTCCGTCCAATGGCGCGCCGCGAAAAAGTGGCGCTCGCTGGATTTCAGCACCTGGACAGCGGCTCGGCGACACGCCGCAGCTCGACGCTGATTGGCTGAGAGCGAGTTAATAGTTCTGCTAGAAATCTGTTGCCTCGGATAAGCACGAATTCAGCGCTTTCTCTGCTCTAACACACGCAGTTGAGCCTGTTAGTGCTTATTAATGAGTTGATGTGCAGTGCGGGGGGGGTTGTGCGTCGGGGGCTGTGAATGACCACAGTGAATTATTCATAACTGTAATATGATTATAATGTAACACTCACTGCGGTTTGGCTGAAGGAGGTTCATTTAGATAGATGAGACAGGCAGACGGACGGACGGATGGACGGAATGCTAAGCAGCTTCTTGCTTTGAATCACATTTCAGCACCACACACCTGTTCGCAACGTGGCAGGTCTGCGTGTTTTCCTTCTCGCTTTGTTTTGCCCCCTCGCCGCTTGCGTCACACGCGCACGCCCCCCGCCACAGCCAAAAACTGCAACAGTTTTCGAAGAGTGATGGGATTTCAGCACGTGGACGGGGCGGTCACGGGCACGGCGCGTTCACGTGGCGCAGGATCGACACGAGGCTTGCCGGGAAGAGCTGCGCGCATTAGCGCTCGAGCGGCCGAAGTGTGAGGAGCTCACAGAGTCATGGAGCTGGACGTGGAGACCGCAGAGTGAGTAAATAGCCAGCCCTGAGAGCGATGACCACTGCTGTACTTCACACACACACACATTATATCTATCTATCTATCTATATATATGAGAGAGAGAGAGAAAGAGAGAGAGATGGATAGATAGGTGCATTATTCTTTATTTACATGTCAGTCATTGTTTTGTGCTGTGGTCATCTACTGGTCAGCCTGCTGTTGCTGCAGTCTCATTAGCTCATTAGGACGCCTCTTAAAAGTTGCACGTGCTCTCTTATCTAGAATGATTCTAAGTAGGTATGTATGCATAACTGTATTTTTTGCATGGATAAATTGTTCTTCTCTATGTTAAACCAGTTTGTGGTTCTTTAAAGACCTCTTTTAGCACCGAAAAGCGTTGCTCTACTGGCACGAGTCAAAGAACCCTTTTTGCTAAGATCCACAGGTTTCCATCATTCACTCTTAAAAAAAGGTTCTGCAAGGGTTCTTTAGTAAAGGCAATGGTCCTACACACACATAGGCACATATTTGGCCATTGTAAGCGTCCTTGGATAACCGAAAAGCATCCTTCTGATTTATTTTGCTATTGTTGTTATTTATATTAATGACGTTTCCTTTATAAATCGCAGGCTGCTGTTTACGTCACTAGTCATAAAACTAACGCTAAACAGCATGTTTGCGTCCAAAACAACATACTGTACTGTACCGCACTGTGTTATACTATACACGCTACACTAGTCGAGTGCGCTACTAATGGCAGTGCGGCGTTGTGAAGAATTCGGGTTTTAACCGTGTTTAACTCGGGCTGCGCAGCGTGATCCGCCTGATCATGCAGTACCTGAAGGAGAACAATCTGCACCGCACGCTGGCAGCCCTGCAGGAGGAGACCACCGTGTCCCTGCACACCGTGGACAGCATCGAGAGCTTCATCGCGGACATTAACGACGGCCACTGGGACGTGGTGCTGCTCGCCATCCAGTACCTCAAACTGCCGGATAAGCTGCTGATTGATCTGTACGAGCAGGTGAGACACTCCACCCAAATAGGCATCGCGACATTGACCTTGCTCTCTAACCAATCACAAGCTTTTACTGTGTGCTGACCGACCTCACTCATCAGTTTTTAATCTATGGAAGGTAGTTTGACTGTAGATTAATGAACCCCCTTAAAGGGGAACTCCACCTAAATTTTCCATAATTTCTGCATAATTCAATGGTCGAGATGTAAACAGTCATTCTGAGTGGTTTGAAGTGAAGTGCTTCATTATTGAAAAACTTACCAAGTCAGAATTGTTCGCAGTGGTGGTGACAGGAGCCAGACGTCCACCTCTAAAAGCTCCTTCGCAGAAAGGTATTAAATGAAATGGTTATCAAGGTGCTGCCTGATGTATGACACATTGTTTTATGAAAGATTTGAGAGGAATTTGGCCTTAAAGCATGCTTGTTTAATCCATTCATTGCGGAGGGGTACATGCAGGGCATTCTAAGGCAAAATAGTCCCCAAAGGAAGCTTATTTTTTCTGATATGCTGCTATTTTGCCATCATCAACATTACAAATAAAAACTGAGTAGATGTGTAGGTTCACTGATGGTTTTGGATAGTAGAGCTTTACAGTGATAATGATAGGAACCAGGGGTAACAATGTGTGCAGCACAAATATAGCCATTTTATTTATTATCCAAAACCTTCAGTGAACCTACATGTGCCTTCTGAGTTTGTTGATAGTGGTAAAGTAGTGGTAAATCTGAAAAATAAGCTTTTAATGGGAGCTATTTTGCATTAAATGCACCTCTTTACCATGAATTGATTAAAAAAAAATAATTTTTAAGGCCAATAGATGATTTCATAGCTATTGTAAAACAATATCTTATATATCACACAGCCAATTCGTAACCATATTATGCGATAGCTTCTGTGAGGTAGCTTTAAGAGGCATTAAATGGGAATTTTGGAGGTTTTTAAAAATGATTTCTGCGTAGTTCAATCATTGAGATGTAAACAAAGCCATTCAGAGTGAGTTTAAAGTGGATTCACTGTAAATAAAACGTACCAGTTCAGATTTCTTTACAATGGTGATGGGAACCAGACACTGCGATGCCTAATAAGGCCATAACACAAATATAGCCATGTTCATTTTCACCAGTGAACTCATACATGTCTTCGCAGTTTTAAAATGTAATGTTGATGATGGTAAAATAGTGGCAAATCAGAAAAAAATATGGACTATTTGTGGACTATTTTGCCTTTCGCCCTGTATATACTCCTCCACCATGAATGGATAAAACAAATATGTTTTAAGCGAAAATCATAAAACAATGTGTCAGACATCAGGCTGAGTATTTATAACCATTTCATGTAATAACTGTCTGTGAGGGAGCTTTTAAAGGAGGACGTCTGGTTCCTATCACCACCACTGTGAACAATTCTGACTACATTTCTCTAGAATGAAGTATTTCATACTAAATCACTCTGAATGACTTTGTTTACGTTTTATCCATTTAATTATGCAGAAATAACAAAAAATGAGGGGAATTCCCCTTTTAAGATCTCAGGCATATTACAACAAAAGGTTGTATTTATTAATTACATGAGAAATAGTGTGAACTGGCTTGTTTGGTTTTTGTGAAGAATGGAATCCTGGATAATTTAAGGGGTTAACAAGTGTGACGCTGTCAAATATGATCCCTTTACTTTACAACTTTCTTAATAAGTTCTTCCTGTTTTGGAAGTGAAGTTTTTGCTGCCTGCAACTTTAAGCTTGTTTTACAGATGTTTTTGCTATTGTTTGCTATTTCTTGCGCTGTAGGAAGTTGCCCCGAATTTCTATTTTATGCACTGGAAGTGTTATAGCAGGAGTTGGCAACCCAAATATTAAGAAGAGCCATTTGACCTTTCAAAAACAAAAATCAGTCTGCTTTGGGAGCCACAAAATTTTATGTCTATATATTTAGGTAACATTTTACTATCGTCGCTGTAAATATGTCTCAGTGTGTGCTACTGTCCTAATATAGGCTAAAAAATATAATATAAACGAAAACACTCTGCTTTGAGCTTTAGCTCATCTATAGCTGCTTTTTCTCGCATCTCCGGCAGGAAACTTTTCCTCAGAGGTAAAATAGTTTCTTGTAAAATGTCTCTCGATGTTCAACTTTTTACAAGGTTGAAGTCAGCTCCTCATTCACCAGCTTCTTGTTCTAATTTTCCCATTCCACCTTAAATGATGCCTGAGGCACCAGAATGTAACTGCTGCAACTTTTAAGGTGGAACGCAAAAAACTAAAATGAGAATCTGGCGAATGAGGAGCTGACTTTGACAGCTTCACAACTTTTTAGTGTTTGGCAGTTTCTCATTGCAGATTAAACGTATCAATAAACCAGCTGCAGTGCTTATAAACGCTAATAAGTTCATTCATCTCCAAATTATCGATGTTCGTCTTAAATCTCTCTCTTTGCCTTTTTGTTAGCTGCTAGCTAGGTGAGACTGTTTGTGTTGCTATGGCGACCAGCATTCTGCATGCCAACCTTCAGGGTTAACTCCAGCGTTTAAGGCAAATTATTGTTGAAACTGTGCTAGAACGATCAGCAGAGCTTTGTTTTACTGCAAAGGATGATTATTTTATTTTTACCAAAAAATCTAATTCTGCTGTGGAGCCGCAACAGGGCAGTAGAAGAGCTGCATGTTGCCGACCCCTGTACTATACAAACATGTCTATGTTTACCTGTACTGTTCAAGCTGGAACTAAGAGATTTGTTCATACATCTATGTCCAGGTGGTGCTGGAGCTGACTGAGCTAAAAGAGCTGGGAGCAGCCCGTTATTTACTGACCCAAACAGACCCCATGATCATGCTGAAGCACACTCAGCCTGAGCGCTACTCCAAGCTGGAAACCCTCCTCACGAGCCCGCACTTTGATGCAAATGAGGCAAGTACTCTTAAAGAGGCACCCCGACCGAAAATGAAAAAGTTAACCAGTGCTACAAGTGTTGTAAACATACCTAATGGCCTTCTACAGTGGTGCCACAACAGTCCAGAGAGTTTTTGTTTTAAAGACTAAGAAAACCTCCTTCAGATGATGAATCTTGAAGGTGAGAGGAACTTTTGAAAAACCTGAAGCGAACATTTGGGGTTTTTTTTCCCCAGCAAGCTGGTTAAAGCAGAAGAAAGCCTAATAGCTAACATTGCTGCTAGGAAGCTGAATATCATGTCTGTATACGTATATATGTATAGAGCCCCCCCCCCCACAATTATTGGTACCCCTGCATTTAATACTTTGTACAACTTCCCTTTGCCAAGAAAACAGCACTTAGTCTTCTCCTAAAATATCTTATAAGGTTGAAGAATCCACAGCAGGGAATTTGAGACCATTCTTTTGCAGATAATCCAGGTTCCCAGGTCCTCTCTTGTGCACTCTCCTCTTTAGCTCACCCTACAGGTTTTCTACAGGTTTCAGATCAGGGGACTGAGATGGCCATGGCAGAAGCTTGATTTTGTGTTCAGTAAACCGTTTTTCTGTTGATATGGTGGCGTCTGATGGTAGTTTTGGAGACTTGGGGACCTCAAGATGCTACTTTTTATCTGTAACTCTGCAACAGTGATCCTTGAGAATTCTTTGCCTCTCTTAATATCTTCCTTACTGTGCATGGAGGCAAAATAAACTGGGTCATTGTCCAGGCAAGTCTGTCATAGTTGCAGTTGATTGGAACATGTTAAATATTGCCCTAACTCTAGATTTGGGCATGTTCAGGTGAGTAGATTTTTTTCATAGCCATTCAACACATTTTTCCCTTATTTGAACTGTGTTCTCTTGTCTTTCCCATGTTGAAGAATGATGAAGGGAATTTGACCTCTGTGTCATCTCCTAAATGTACCCCAGTGAAACAGGACGTCATGGATTACTGCTTGAGAGTTGCTAGACACTGTGGTCAACGTAAAACAGTAAAATTTAAGTGGAAAAATGCTTCAGTTACATTTTCTTTTAAAAAAATTCTAGGGGTGAATATCTTAGTAACCTTTTTACTCATTTTTACCAGGGGTGCCAATAATAATATAGGGGGTCTATGTAATATTTGTTCTATATAGAACCATTTCATGGTTAAATAGTTGCTTTTCCATGGTGAAATGGACCAAACAGGTACTTCTATTGTTATAAGCTTGACATCATAACAATAGAAGAACCCTTTTTGGTGCTTTATAGAACGCTTTTCCAAAAGGTTCTATACAGAACCATAGGCACCACATTCTCCATCAATCTGAAGAACCATTTCACCATGCAAGGAACACTTTAAGCATGAAATGGCTCTATATAGAGCTCATGATTCTAAATAGAACCATTGTCTTGGAGAAGAAACCTTGAGGAACCATCTTTTTTATGAGTGTAGCCTTTTTTTGGGGTCACATCTCCAGATGGAAATAGAGAACAGATCAGCGAATAGATTTATTCTGACTTAACCAACAGTGATACCTCAGCAGTAATTGGGTAAACCGTCCAAAGACCACATCAATCATCAATAAGTTGCTGCTACTTAAAACAGAAGCAAAAGCAGGCCATGGGGGAGCGTACAGTCAGAACAGTGATGCTAAAAACGGGTCTAAGTACTGTTTTTTTTTAAAATCCAGTTTAAAATCCACCTTACAAATCCATTAATATTACAAAACGATGTAAATCTTTCTTTTAAATCCCAAATGACATGAAACTCAGTGAAGCCAGTGAAGAAAATCCACATGAAATCCTCATTTGCAGACATTTGCACTCAAAAACGTTGAACCACTAAATACACAAATCATCATCATCACCATTACAGTGTTCCTTGTTTTCAATTCTGTCCCACTCCAGGCTTACCAAGAGGGCAGCAGTAAAGAGAAACGCAGGCAAGCTATCGCTCAGGCGCTGACTGAAGAGGTCAGCGTGGTCCCACCCTCTCGTCTCATGGCTCTGCTTGGACAGGTGGGTTCTTTCTTATCAGCCAGTTATTCAGTGTGGAAAACAACCCAAAAGTCACTCCATATCCTGTTATTATATCTCTGTCTGTATTCTCCATATAAATCACACGCCACATGTGCTCAGGTCTGAAAATTCTCCTTGTATCTCAAACAAATCCTCTGATTGATTCTGTAGTCAGGTGGTAATCAGGGATCTACCCAGCTGAAACAGATCAGCAACCAGTATGCAGTGTGTGGTCTCTGGAGAGCCAGTTTAAAGGGAGCTTGGCCACTTCATCTAAACTGCTTACCCTTCTGGGTTGTGGGGGTGCTGGAGCCTATCCCAGCTTTCAATAGGGCAGAAGGCAGGAAACACCCTGGGCAGGTTGGAGTTCAACAGCGCTAAAAAATATACTGCAATAAGCAATAGAATGAAACAGCACAATTCTTGCATTTTCAGGTCACAGAGACTCTAGTCTAACAATTTATGAAAAGGTATTTGAGCTGACAAGTAAAAGTCACAATAGTAACTAAGTACAAAGTAAAAGTACATTTTTGTTCAAAAAATGTGCAAATTCATAAAGATATCAAAACTGTGTCAGCATTTTTATGCCAGTGACATATCTGAGTGGCCTAGTGTCTCCTGAAAATAACAACAAATGGTTTGTATGACTGTCTCATTTACATACTTTAAAATCAAAATTATATATAAAACAATATGATGTAATTGTTTTGGCTATTGTAATTTTGGTTGATTACAATGACTAAAACAATTACACCATGTTATCCTAGGGCTGAAAGTGGCCAGTGCTAAGCAGATGGAGGAGCTAAGCTTAAATGAAGAGCTTAGAAATGTAATTATTTACACCATTTTCACCATCAATATTACTGAAGAAAAAAATGCAGAGATTAACTTAGTCCGAAAACGCAGAGTTTGTTTAGCCAGAATAAGGAGTGACTAAAATTTGAACTACATTCCTATGAATTTAGGGGTTATGTTAAGAAAAAGAGTAAATTATCCTGTAATCCTGTCATCTGAATCACAAGGGTTGTATGTGTTAAGTGTCTAGCCTCAGACACTAATCTTACTAGCTGTATACATATTCATTTTAACATCAAATACAAAACATATGAGCAATTAGTATAACTATAGGTTACTTCAGATTATAGGTCAGGAACACTTCTAAAAACCACTGTCTGTGAACACAGTTCGGTGCTGCTTCCACAAATGCTAATAAAAACTCTTAAATGCAAAGAAGAAACCATATATAATGGTTCCAGAAATGCTGCCACCCTCTCTGGGCCTGAGCTTATTTAAAATGGACTGAGGGGAAGTGGAAAAGTTTCCTGTGGTCCAATGAATCAACATTTGAAATTCTTTTTGGAAATCATGGACGCTGTGTCCTCCGGGCTAAAGACCACTCAGCTTGTTATCAGTGCACAGTGCACAAAAGCCAGTATTCATGATGGTATAGGGGGGCATTAGTGCACATGGCATGGGTGACTGGCACATCTGTGAAGGCACCATTAATGCTGAACAATACATGTTTTGGCAACATATGCTGCCATCCAGACAACGTTTTTTTTCAGGGAAGGTCTTGATGTTTTCTGCAAGACAATGACAAACCACATTCTGCATGTATTACAACAGCATTGCTCAGTATTAAAAGAGTCCAGGTGCTAAACTGGCCTGCCTGCAGTCCAGACCTGGCACCACTGATAACATTTGGCGCATTATAAAATGAAAAATACAACAAAGGAGACCCTGAACTGTTGAGCAGCTGAAATCCTATGTTAAGCAAAAATGGGAAAACAATTCACTTTCCAAACTACAGCAGTCGGTCTCCTGAGTTCCCAAACGCTTACAGAGTGTTGTTAAAAGAAGAGGTGATGCCACACAGTGGTAAACATGCCCCCCGTCCCAACTTTTTTGGAACGTGTTATTGGAACCGAATTCAAAATGGGCATATATTTTTCAGAAAACAATAAAATTTCTGTTTCAGCAGTTGATTTGTAGTCTATGTACTATTTTCAATGAAATACAGAGTTTAAATGATTTGCACATCACTGAATGTTGTTTTTATTTACATTTTGCACAGCGTCCCAACTTTTTCGGAAATGGGGTTGTACATCAGATATAGCTTACCTCTCTTCACTAAGCTTTAAGTCACAAATATTATGAAGTCTTGTATTCCTGGAAGTGAAGCTAGGTTGCTAAAGCTACTCTTCTCATCACAGGGTCGTATATGTGAGGGCGCCCTCTACAGGTTACAGGAGACCAAAGCGCTCAGACAGTTTGGATCATTAGCATTGTTGGTAAGTGGAACTAGAACATGATGCATTTCTTACAGATTTAGCACATTGACACACTTTAAACAACATCTGCTCTTATTTGTATGACCTAAATAACAGACGCTTTTCATTTTATTTATCTGGTTCCTGTCTTCATTTCCTGTTTATGACAGTCCACACCCCCAACTTGGTACTGTGCAAAAGTCAGAGACCACCCTTCATATAATTTCCAGTCAAAATGGCTATTAAGTAATTTATTCTGCAGCATAAAGAAAAAATCTGGAAATATGTATTTCACAGAAACCTGGTACTTAATGTTACTCAATCATTTTGAAGGAACTTAAAAAAAACAGAGGTCAGTCTCTGACTTTTTCACAGTACTGTACATTGCTTTAAAACCAGTACAGGACATATTGTCGGGTGTCCTGTGTTGTAGTGCCACTCTTTCACTCTGCCTGATCCTCTGTTCTTACCGTAACTCTTCTTCCTTCTGCTCTCCATCACCGCTTCTTTCCACTCCCTTGTTCTTTGGCTCCGTTTTCTCCCAGTCTCTGAAATGGCAGCAGCACCAGGGTCTCCTGCCTCCCGGCATGTCAATAGACCTGTTCCGGGGCAAAGCCATGATGAAGGACTTGGAAGAGGAGCGCTTCCCTACTCAGCTCTGCCGCCTCATTAAGGTGCGGTACCCATTGCAGCAGCTGTAGACTGTTAGCTAACGGCTAGCTATCAGTAAATCCCAGTTGTGAAGCCACCGACCTAAGACTTCGGTTTCTTGGTTCAAATCATGTGTACCTTACCTCAAATCCGCTCTGAAGCATCTTTGTCCACTCCAAACTGGAGCTAGCATGGACAAGTTAGCATCATTATTTCATGCTAACTGGCCAGTATTAGCTTTAATTGGTAATGTGTTTACATTACAGGGTAAGCCATATTGCTGACCCTGAGCTCAAGGCCAGAGAGCTAAGCAGAGCAGCTAAAGCCCATCTGCGTGTTGTGCCAGTGGCCACCTTGAGTCCAAAAATTCTGTATTCATGGGGTGAAGTGGACTGACCGGTTGGCTCTCACGCGCACATGTATAATTGCTTTAGAGGCCCGAAGCTTCCTGTTGTATCCTCGCCGCTCATGCTGGCACACTGCACATTCTGATTGATGCTACCACAGTGAAGCGTCTGACTCGGGGTAACAATAACTCGGCCCATCTGTCTCTCGCTTCCCCATCCACTATCTCTCCCCTCCTAAACAAGGCAGACCTTTAGCACTTAGCATTGTACTGCAACGTGGGTGTATGTAAATGCATTGGTGCATTGGTGGTGGACTGTGTTTATGCAGATTCGCTTGTTCCATTGCCCACACTGTGGAACAGTGCTTTAGCTTTTCTAGTGAAGTACAGTTGAAATCTTTGATACTTAGCCTTGAATATAAAGTACTCAAGTGGTGTTTCTTCAGTTAATGGATAGGGATACTTTCCTTGCTCATGTTATATTGTGGACTTTTAGCAAGTATAATCAGAGTTATGATGCTAATTGCTAAATTGTCTTTATATGGGCCATTTTTACTTGTATTTCCCCCTTTAAATGTGCTTATAATATTTGTGTGGGACCAGGCATGATAAATTTGATTGGCCGCCCTGCATTGTGCCTTGTTCAAAAAGCAGTGTGGGCTGAAATATATGGAGCAAACTAAGAAGTAGGGGTAGACGATGAAATCGTAATCAAAGTATTGGCAGATGGATGTTTAGATTTGACAGGTATTTCAAACCTATATTTGATGCAGAAATGCATAATGTTGGACTGTCTGGATTTTATTTATCTTGCTGCACAAATCAATGCTACATTCCACTGTAATGTTAATCCAGGTGGATCCATTCCCAGTTTTTACACTTAAATGTATCCGCATCGGCATTTGTTTACATTGAAAATATCATATATTGGCATCTTCTCCCAATTCCCAAATCAGTGCATCCCCACAGCCACTGAAACCCTCAGGAAAATAAAAAGCTTCAGCCACTCCTTTTGGATGTGTGGATCATTTGGAAGGCTCCAGTGATATCATTTATTCCTGACAGCCAGGAACAGCACAACGTTGAATTGTTTTACCCATATCTTCGGCTCCAGTAACTTTAATACAGACTGTCTGCAGTAGCAGAACTCCCTATGACTTCAGTGTAAATGAGCAGGCTAAACGGCCGTGGGATAAATGGTCAGTCAGATGATCCCAACCATGATGAATTTAAAACAAGTTGTTTTTGCAACTTAGTTTCCATATAGGTACTGTATGCATTTTAAGCAAATGTTAACTGTGAAACTTTTACAGTTTTTACACAGTACATCAAGAAAATGTGCTCGTATACATTACAGTTTGGTCCAAAGTCCCACGTGGAATGTGCCCGGTTCTCCCCAGATGGCCAGTACCTGATCACGGGATCTGTCGATGGCTTCATTGAGGTTTGGGATTTCACCACTGGTAAAATATCCAAGGTGCGTCCGCAGCGTCAAAAGCTTACTTCAATTTCTATTTCAAATTCTATTCCATTAACATTTGTAAGTGTGCACACTGCATATGTCCTTCTGAAAGCACAGCATAGTAACACAACCGCCACACAGAGCATGTATGGGTGTCCCGGGCTGTTATGTGGGTATGAAAAATGTGTTTCCCCATTTAGTGCTGCCTAATTTTCTCTCAGGAGTATGCATGGTTACTGTTGAACTCTCCAAGGGGTAGAAATATGGGTCACCTAAACGCTCCGTGACGTCCACCCACACGTGTCCACTCACACTGGCATCCAAAAATAATGTTGCCCGACTTCCTTCGCTGTTGCTTTTACAGTCAGAAGACTTTGAGAAGAGTCTGAGTTTGTTACACAGGTTACAAATCTATTTCCATTATGTGTTATATTTGTTTCTTTTATGTTTTTTTTTTTTTTAAAGATACAACCAGAAACTTACAGTTATTGCCACTGACTGTTGTAAAAATGTGGATTTGATCCCAATCAAGATATTTAGAGAACCCCTGAACTCAAATTTGTTACAACAGCACATTTCATATTTTCCCAATGAAAACAGAGACTGTGTACTTCTGTATACTATAGACATTCTCAGTACTTTTGTTTAAGAATGACTACCAGTATTGTGCATAGGAGCTCATTTTTGATGTCACAAAATAGTCTTAAAATTTTCACGGCCCAAAATTTTAAAACTAAGCATATGAATGAACTTACGGATGTGTTAGCGATGTTTGGACAGTGCTGTTAGCAATCTAACAGTCAAGTGAACATGTCTACCATTGTCAACACAAATTGAAACTCGGCTACTGAAATCCTTCTCAAGTCTACCTCTGCAAGGAAATACAAGCTAGTTTACTAGCAGCTAACTAGAGACACCGTTAGGCCATTTATTAGCTTCTTGGGCATAAAAATAATACAAATTAATAACATTTCTTTAAAATTTAACATACATTTTACACCTGTAGCAGTACTTCAAAAACATTTTGGAAGCAAGCCACACTAGTTCATGCTAGTTCATGCTAATTTGTGTTGCTAGTGACAAGCACTGTTCCCACAAATGAGCCATGCTATCGAAAGCAGCACCAATAGTAAAAGCATTTTTGTTCCTTAGCCTTGGCTTGGCGTGTGATTGAGCGGTGCATGTGTGCCTATGTCTCCGGTGTGTAGGATCTAAAGTACCAGGATCAGGATAACTTCATGATGATGGGGGAGGCTGTGCTGTGTCTGGCAGTGAGTCACGACACTGAGATGGTGGCCTCCGGAGCCCAGGACGGCAAAATACAGGTACGTCTAGAACATCTAGACTAGTATAGCTACATGCCAAGTTACGTAGTTAAGTTAGTAACGCTGAACCACACAGGGCTTTCTCTTGGTGTCACTTAAGCACTTCTAAAGCAGAAGCTGTTTTACTAGAATAATAATTTTAAAAGAAAAAATGCTAGGATGGCAGTATGCCAAGTTCTTTGCTATCAGGCTAACAGTATGCTAAGTTAATGTTTTAAGGAAGCAATAAGCTAAGTTGTGATTATAGACCAGGCTTGAATCATAGTATAAATATATAAAGGCACAGATTACTGGGTTATAATGTAAAAATAAGAAAGGATTAGTAAAAAGTACCACAGCATTACATGTTACATAGATCATTTAGGCTACTATGATGGCATCTGCAGAGTTTGATAACATTATCTTTAGTACACTGTGAAGTGCAGCTCATCTCAAGACAAGCTCTATTTGAGCTGAGGCTAGCTGCTGCTGAGGAAGTTCAACATGGCTGCATAAGCTGGAGAGCTTCTCTCACAGGGACAAAAGTGTCTGCGGGCTACCTTTAATTAATGCTGCTATCAAGTCAATTCATTATTTAATCGTTTTAAACCAGCTGCATCTAATTACAATTGTGGCCTAACTCTTTCTACCGGAGCTGCAGTTAAAGCACCTGAAGGCAGCCAGAGCAGCTTTACACCTAGAGTTAAAGCGATTCAATATCAGAAGAGTCGATACTATCAGTTCCTTTTGATTTCTGTTCACTGGCATCTAGTTCAGTATGGATATTGTCCTCATCTGTTTAGAGTGGAAGCCTAATTCACTCTGTTTCATACGTGCTATGATTATGTATTTGATTGCAGCATAATGAATAACCGTACTTATTTGCAACATTATTATTATTAAACCCTCAGCAACACCGCTGTGCCTGATACACTCATGAGCACACCACTATGCCACTACCATGTCAGTATAACTGCTGTGCTGACAATGATCAAGCACTCAAGTAGTATCTGGTCAGCAGTGGTTCTGTGCTCAGAAACTGACCAATGATGGACAAATCATGCAGGAATAAAGTGTGTAATTGTACATCTAGTATGTACAAATTGAACACTGTACGTCTAGTGAACCTATATAGGAACCGGACCTTATAAAGTGGCCAGTATGGGGAAATGCAAGGACGCTATTTCTAATAAAGTGGCCAAAGTATAGCTCATAGCCTAGAGGTCTTGAAATCCGCACCTTGAATCCAGATTCCAGTCCTGGATTTTGTAATCACTGGTGTAACACCAGGTAGCCATTCGGCCTGGCTCAGGCAGCCTTTTTCTGCCATTCTGCTGGGAGAATCGAGATCGACTCATATTTTAATGAATATAATCAAATATTTTCCTCTGTAACTCTGTTTTTAGATAAACTAGGTTACTATTGGCTTTTTCAGTGTTGTGACTTTATGTTGAGATGCTAGCGAGCAATGACGGTGAAAGAGGAGGGGTGAGGACCCCACAAACACAGCCGTGTCGAGGTAAAAAGGGCAGCACAAGTGCAGCTTTCTTGGTATCATATTCCATGAATATGGAATTTATAGATTAACTGAGGGACCTCCTCCAAAACAGGCACAAATTGCATTTTATGGCTACTGTGATTGGGGTTAACTGCCTCTCATAAAATTCAGGACCAGAAAAAAATTGGATTAAAGATCCAGATTTAAAGAGTTATGAATAGCCCACATCACAAAACAAGCACTGCACACAGTGAGCAAGCAGAAAGTGGATCAGTTGAGGGAACTCTCTCTTTTTTACTTTCTCCAGCTATGGAGGATCCACAATGGACAATGCCTGCGCAAATTTGAACGAGCCCACAGCGAGGCCGTCACCTGCATCTGCTTCAGCAAGGACAACAGTCAGCTACTGAGTGCCTCCTTTGACCACACCATCAGGTTTAAACCCACACTACCACTTTAGCACTTTCCCTGCTCATGCTGGGATTTCTTCTCTTTCTCCCAAATTGCACTCAGGGGAAGGTGGTAAAAGAACAATCTGGATCTCACTATGATCTTCATAATGGCCTGCTCTGCTCAGTTCCCCTGGAGCTTTGTGTGAACACTGCATTTCATTTCTTTTTAGAGGTTCAGCTGTTTGGCTTCACAGTTACAAGTGCAGCAACATTGTGTTCACGTTTATTACTCCTTTAGGTTTTGTCTCTTTGCTTTTGAAGTATGCAATTAGGTGCTAGTGACCAAAAAGACGATGGCAGCCAAAGTGGTGAACTTTAACAGTACTAATTTGCCAGATTTTGATTTCAGTTTCATTCTGAATAACTTGGAGGTTCTCAATACTGGTCCTGGAGCCCTTTAACATTGGTCTGGCTCCAACAGACTTTCTAAGAATTTCTCTAAGAACTTCTAAGTTATGTAGAACTAACTGTGTTAGAGCAGGAAAAAACATTAAACACTGGATTAGCTTGTCTGTTTTCACAGTAGCTATGTAGAATTTAAATTAACTAACCAATCTGCTTGTTTTTAAAAAGGTTTTTAAAAAAAACTTTTTGAATTGTTTTCACCAATGAACAGAACCATTTAACCATGCGAAGAATTTAAAGGAGCATTCTGGCCTAAAACGAGAGTTTAATACACTATATAGACAAAAGTATTGGGACACCTACAGGAGCTTTTATGACATCCCATTCTAAATCCATAGGCAGTAATATGGAGTTGGTCCCCGCTTTGCAGCTATAACCGCTTCTCCCTTTCTGGGAAGCTTTCTACAAGATGTTGGAGTGTGTCTGTGGGAATACCCCTTGGCATTATCCCTCCTCCACCAAACTTTACAGTTGGCACAATACAGTCAGGCAGGTAATGTTCTCCTGGCATTCACAAACCCAGACTCACCCATCAGACTGCCAGATAGAGAAGTGTGATTTGTCACAGCACTCCATCCATTCTACTACCAGTGTTTGTCTATCAAGACTGCAAGGCTATGTGCTTAATATTATCCACCTGTTAGCAATGCGTGTGGCTGAAACACCTGAACTCAATAATTAGGTGTCCCAATGCTTTTGTCCATATGGATGTTATAATGTGTATTGTGTAGTCCAGCATCATGCCCCTTAGCCTCATTGGTTTGGCATATTTCATAATTTTATATTATGCTCATGCTGTAATTCATCATGTTCACTACAATACCCATGCACTACACAAATACATCATTTACATCACACTGGCAAATCCCTGTGGTGTCAACCAATCCTGACTAATCTATAGGCTAATAAACACAACCAAATTAGCTTTAGTATAACTCTTACCTTGGTTGTTTAACAAAATAGCAAAGAAAACAGCGAGTCTGTCTTTACTCAGCACTAAACAGATACCAGATACAAGTTTTTAGCCTTTCAGCCTGAGGAAAGCCAAAGTGAGGTTATGTATAGCCAGCTCAACACAGCATGTAGGTAGTCATATTTTTTCAAATGTCCCTCCCACCTTCAAGATACATCATCAGACGTGGGTTTTTCTATTCTTTAAACCAGAAAATCTCAATCTAGAGACTACCGCAGCGCCACTGTAGGATGCGAGTAGGCATGTTTTCAACAGATGCAATGATGGTTATAATTTTCATTCAGGCCAACGCATCCCATTCAAGCCCTCGAATCGTTTTTTGAGTTGTTACCGATCTATAAATAATCATTTCCTTCACTTTTTGTTTCATGTATAACCATTTCCTTCTTCGTTGGTCGATGAATCACAAATCTTAATCAGTTCATAGCACACCCCAGAGTGTCCAAGACAGCTGATAGACCACAGGCAGGCTGATGGAAAAAGGGGAGGAGGAGGAGTTGAAATGAACCCGTCCCTCAGCGCCCGGCATCATTTGGAAGACTTTGAGCACATGTTTGCACCCAGTGTCTCCCACTCCTTCTCTCTCTCATATTCTAAATGTCCAGACTGCGGCAGTTTCTGCAGTGTCAGTGCTACGCTCACGGTGTGTGTCTGTGTGTGTGTGGGCGGAAAGGAAGTGCGATTTTCCACGTGCACGGGGTGGGGGGGGGGCGTAGGGGGTGGGGATGCAGAGAGAGATCAAGCGAGAGAGCAGATAATATGTTTCTATTCCTATCTTAAACGCCCAGGAAAGGGGCTGACAGACGCAGATGTTTCGCTATGCCAATTCCTTAGAGAGAGAAAGAAGAGGAAGAAACAGCGAGGCGGTGCTGTGATTGGCTTTTTATTGACAAACAAAGACTCCTCCTCGTCCGCACTGAATTGGATTTTGCGCGTGATGGGACACGTGAATGCCGAACGGGCATCACACGGGCATGTAGAAGCTTCGTTTCTTTTCTAAGGGGCTTTGTACTGTGACGTATCTGTCTTCAGCTGCTAGAAGACGGCAAGTGGATGGAGTTTTAATTCAGAAGCAGTAAATGTGTGATTTATGGTATCTAGGCATAAAAAAGGTGGGAATAAGCTTGAATATCATCACCGTCACATCATCACATATTTCTTATTTGGCTCAGTAACATGTTTAAGTGCATATGAGGACCAGTGTTTAGGGGTTGTCCTTTAACTATGCTATGAAATGAAGCACATTTGGGGCTGGTTTTCTGGACGTGGATTAAGCCTAAACTTGCAATGTCAATGTTGTTTTACCATTAGAGATCCCATTTAGTCTAAGTCTAAGATGAAATTGGCCGTTTAAGTATACAATTACACTCTTAAAGGCGAATTTCAGCTTAATACTAGCATAGTGCAGGGTTGCATCCCTGCCTCATTTGACAGAATTCTCAGTTTTGTATTGTTTTTGTGTTTTTGTCCATCAGTGTTCTCTCACTACAATTCCCAGCATGCATTACATAAATGTTACACAATCATTGGAAGTCCTCGCGCTCAAAACAATCTGCTAGCCGCTGATCTAGATGCAAATTAATACATCTGGGGTGCGGGCTGACACTGGTGACACTGGTGACTATGATCTAACTTTAACTGGTCGCCAAACTTTTTCTCTGTTAAAAGAATAATTAAGGCAGCTAGTGAATAAAAAAAAATCAAACAGCTCCTTAAGTATCCACCCACAAGCATTTGTAGTCCTTCAGAATTTACTTTCACTTTCAAGATAAATCAGAAGGGGGTTACCTAGTCTTTACACCAGGAAATTTCAACCCATGCAGTGCCACTGTCAAGTCAACATTTAACAATCAAAGTGCCAAAATAGGTTCTTTCTTTGTGCGTTGCCATAAGAGAACCACTTTTGTTTCCCCTAAAAACCCTTCAGTGGATGATTCCTTAGAGAACCTTTTTTTGGTGAATGCAATGTGTGATTATGAAGAATCTTTTTCAAGTTTATAAAACCTCCCCATAAATGTAAAGTTTCTAGGAAAACCCTTAAATTGGTAAAGAAAGGGTTTTCCCTTTAATCATTAGAAACATGATTTTTTTTTAAATTATCATTGTAGATGCTTTATTTGGATAGTCCATGCAGATGCCTGTCCTTAACCTACCTTCAACTAAATAACTACTAACATTACCATAGCTTTTCCATACCTATGAACTTTAATCACTTGCATTAACCTCAATCCAAAATCTAAACCCAATTGTAATCCTGGAGGTTCTCCTGATAGTTTGTTACAAACCTGAGCATCTGTAGATGCTATCCAAATAAAGAGGGTCCTTTAATTTAAGCTTAAGTAATTAAGTAATGTTTCAGTACTAAGGTTTACGACCTACAACAGGCTTTGCCCTAAACATTGTAAGAGATACAGATTATGTCTAACAACTGTTTCAATTCGTCAGACTTCACGGACTGAAATCAGGAAAGATGCTGAAGGAGTTCCGAGGCCACACGTCCTGCATAAACGATATTGCCTTCTCGCACAATGGCCATTACATCATCAGCGCTTCGGCGGACGGCACCGTCAAGGTAAATCTGCGCTGCTACTTTAATCTACCCTGATTGCCGGATTAAAGATGCCACCTCTGTTGAGTCATTTACAACACTGGCTCTCCACTCTTAAACACACGCCCCTTTCTCAGATCTGGAACGCAAAAACGACTGACTGCACCAACACCATCAAAACGCCAGACGTCCCCGAGGGAGCAGACATCACAGTAAACAGCGTTGTTCTCGTGCCCAGAAACCCAGAGCACTTTGTGGTGTGTAACAGGACCAATACGGTGGTAGTCATGAACATCCACGGCCAGGTAATGATCAAACAACAGATGTCTTCCATCCACGGTTTATATTTAATCATGGCTAATGCACAAGCCTGCATTTGAGCACTAGAGCTTCTAACATGAAGTGCAAGTATTCATTCCATCTCTATAAAGCATCATCTACTTGCTCTTATGAACTCTCCTGTTTAACAAACAAAGGAATCTGATTAGTATTATGAGGTGCCTTAGTCCTTAAAGAGGAGCCCCCCCTTTAATAATTAAGATGTAGACAGAGTCATTCAAAGTAGTTTGATGTGAAATGCTCGGTTCTAGAGAAACTCAGAGTCAGAATTGTTCACATTAGTGGTGATAGGAAGTTTAATGCCTCTAATGGATCCTTCACCACTGTTAAGAGATTCGACATGATAAAGAAACTGCAGAGTTTCTCTACAATGCACTACTTCACATCAAACCACACTAAACAACTTTGTTCACATCTGAATAATTGATTTATTGTAATTTAGGGTTATAGAGTTGTACCCAGAGTAGTGGCTCCCAACCCTGGGAGTATCTATAGCCTGAACTCAATTTCTGGCTGACCAATAGGGATGTCTCCTAAGTCTTCTCCTGTTGGACAGGCTTGATTTTGTGCATTTACCTAATAGCTCTTGCTTCCTAGCAACATTTGGTGTTTCACATGCTCTTAAAATCTTTTTAATTAACTAATTCGTCAGATGTAAATTTGCAGAGCAAGGACACTCCAGGACAATGGGAAATCCACTGATTTACAGAGCTAATATACTCAGAGAATGGCATTAAAATACAACGCAGTGTCTTGGGCTTATCTGACGACTAGCTGGTGAATCCCCTGGAGGCCGAGACGTTTGTCTCTCCCACTCATTTCTTCTCTTGCTTGCTTGCTGACTCACTTGCTCTCTGAACCCACTTCCTCCTCCTCAATCTTTCACTCCATCTGCTCTCTTGCTCTTTCTTCCTGTTCCTCCTTCTCATTATCTCTCTCTCTCTCTCTCTCTCTCTTCTCTCACTTTCCAAGGTGCTGAGGAGTTTCAGTTCAGGCGTGAGAGAGGGGGGAGACTTCGTGTGCTGCACACTGTCTCCTCGCGGGGAGTGGATCTACTGCGTGGGAGAAGACTATATGCTCTATTCGTTCAGCACCATCACCGGCAAACTGGAGAGAACTCTCACGGTAACAGTCATTCCAGTCCACAGCGTCCGCCATTTTAGTCTTGAGGAATTGTGTTTTTAAATTCCCAAAGCAAATGCAAGTGACAGTTAGTCAGCAAAGTCAATTAGCGACAGCGACATCAATTATGGAAAAAAGCTGACGACAATCAAAGACCCTCTATAATGCCGAGGTAAAACACTGTCAATCTAACAGACTGCAGTTCACCACAAGAAATGTTATGACAGAACATCTTCTGTGGTTTAACTGCAATCTTTGAATGACTGGTGCTGTGGATGGGGGCAAAGTGAGAGGGAACTATAAAATAGTTACTCAGCTGGTCAAATAATAGTTGAGAGGTTTATTGTGGAATTAATTAAGCTTCAGCCCTAGTAGAAAGGACTACTTGCAGTCATGTATCAGTAGTAATTCTTGCCCACTTTATAGTTTGGAATTGACATGGTCGGTTTCTCTATTCTTCAGTCTGGTAATTGTCCACAGTAGATGCTCTGTAGATGATCACCATGTCTTGAACTGATGTTCAACTTAATATCTATTAAATTCCAATTTGTAGCCATTGTTTGAGCATCTGTGGATAAGCTATACTGCACCTTTAAAATAAAGTGAGTATGAAAGTCTTTAGGGATTTGTCAATGTATCTGAAAGACATTAAAGGGGCTATCTGGCCAAAATGGTCAATTTAACCAGTGCTACATCTGTTGTAAACATGACAACTGGCCCGTCTACAGTGGTGCCACTGTAATCTTGAGAGTGAAGGGAAGGGGAAACACCCTTCTGGCGATGCATCCTGAAGGTGGGAGGAACTACAATGGCTCTGGGGTGAATACATGAGGGCAGGCTGTTTAAAATGATTAGTTTAGTTTAGTCGGCACACTTTAACTGGCGAATGCAGAAAAAAGGGCATGACAGCTAGGAAGCTAACTGTCACAACTGTATTCATCAGCTCCTACATGAGCAGTGATGAAGGGATTCATAGTAGCTGTATGCCATATTTGGATGATGCATGCTGGGTACTGTAGTGAGAGGAAATACTGACAAAACCAAAAGAAGGATTCAGTCAAACTGATGAGGCTGAGAGATGCAATTCTGTGCAGCAGATCACGACAAAAATTTACATGCATCACAAAATTTGAAATGCTATTTGTTGGCCAGAATACCCCTTTAAGTATTCTTCAGTATCTGCTAGCTCAATTCTATACTAGCCCCTAATTACACAAACATGTCCACCTCAACAGGTGCATGAGAAAGATGTGATCGGCATAACCCACCACCCTCATCAGAACCTTATCGCCACCTACAGCGAGGACGGCCTGCTGAAGCTCTGGAAACCCTGAAGCCCTTCCACTCAGCAGCGTATACTATATGAACTACATAGTCTGCGTTTGTGTAGTGGTTCCAAGTGCTGATTCTGTGGTACCCCTGTACATACAGGTCCTCTGGAGTTATGTATCAGTATTTAGTCTGACATTTGAAAGTCTTCCATTCGGTGATAAAAGATTCATAAGATTCAAAAGATTCATTTATCCAATAATCTAGAAGCGACAGTGGTAAACAACAAAAAACAATTCAACTTAATCTTCACCTAATCCACATATCATCTGTTGTAAATCACCCAAAGGAGTCTGGATCTACTGGAAATTCAGTGAGGAATTCAGAAACATGGAGGTCAACATTTCAGAGGTATACCGGTCAGACTATAAAATTGGTCATCCAGGCTATACATTTACGCAAAAAGTGAGGACAACCAGACAGAGAAATGAACTATGCCACGAAAGGAGACCAAAGAGAGTATAGGACCTGTGCATCATCTTCACTTTACAAAGCCATCTCTCCTCTCACGTCTCCACCGCATGAACATAGGGTACATATTCTTCGTGAAGGGATCTGTAGCGTCGTCTATGTCAGTGTATGCATGCCAGGTGTAGCCGTATGACACTACACATAACTGGTTTTTCTCCTCCTGACATTGTCTCAACTAGACATAGCCTTTGTAGACCTTCAGTGGCATCACTCCTGGTTATTGGCCGGAACATGAAAGGACTGGGGTTGTTCGACCAGTGAGAACACGTAGCTTCCCAGTGCAAGTTTATTACGAAAGCCATCGGAAGGAGGAGAGGTTTAGTGGAGTTTGCTATGAGGCCTGAGAACGGACCCAGTATTAGATCTAATAATGAACATTTTTATGTGGATACATGGTTAAATGGTCTATTTCAGTATAATTCTTGTGTGAAGGCTTGGTGTGTTTTAACACTTGACCTTACACTTGCATGCAAGATGACCTTGGTTATGCAACAATGGAAATATGCTGTATGTTTGCGTATTGTACGTATTACGTTAATATTCTGGTATTTATATCATCGAAGACGTTCTCATTTATGTTTATAGACAGTGGATTAAGGCGATTTTACTATGTAAATTCATTAAGTACCGGAAAACGAAACGATTTCATTCCTGCGGTCAAAGTGAAAAACGGATACATTTTCTATCCTTTCATTATCTAGCTGGTTTACGTCCAGTAGCTTCATTACAATTATTTTTATGGCAGGTATTGACTTTGCTGTACAAGTAAAACTAACTGCATGTGATGTGAGAAAACTGCCAACACACTGTTAGACTTACAGGTCAAATTTCCACCTGCATATACATTTGGAAATGAAGGCGAAAGTATTTTGCATTTTCAGTGCAGATAGGCTCTATGGTGGTTTGTTTAAATGCAGGCCACTTAGGCCAGGTTTAGTCTCAGGTTGCCAGAGTTTCTCTGCCATAATGGTTCAATAAAGGCTTATTGTTCCTACTTACTTTCCTATTTGTGTTTTTGCCTCAATAATTAATTTGAACTGTAATTCTGTTATATACATTACTGGAATCACTGTTTTCAAACAACATAAAACCTAATTGTTGACCCTCCACTTGAAATGGCTATTAAGTACAAGTTCATTTTTCAGCATCAGCAAAAAACAACGTATTTAAGAGAGCTGGTTTCGTTTTCTGCTCCTTACAATCCAACATATTCAGTGATGTTGAGGTCTGGGACCTTGAATAGGGTTGTTAGGAGTGCCTTTTGCTCTATATTCTACTAATATTTTTTGGATCTCCAGATTTGTTCATTTTTTCCCCACTAATTTTCCTTTGACATTCCTCTTCCGTATGCAAATGGATCATGTAATCCACTGTCTAATCTAATCTCTTCTGAAAAATGAATAATCTGTACAAAACAGCCTTTTTGCCTGGAAATTAAATAAACAAAGAGCGGTCTCTGACATTTACACAGTACATATATAAAATGATTTTAATATCACAGGTTTCAAACAACTTGTAGGAAGCTGTAAAAAAAATGTAGAAATTTATTATGAACAGAGCTGTAGATTATTCCATAATAATTTACAAAGCTATAGCATTGAAGATGAACTATTTTGTGGCACTACTATCAATAGATCATAACAGTTTATTTAATTATATTTACAATACTTCTCGTTGCTCCCAAAATACTTTAAATTGTGACACTTTTACACTGTTTAAGCTATTAATGAGCAGCAATTATTGTGACAAACAATTCTAAACTTTTGAGTGGTGGTGCATTAAATTGCACCTTACATACATTTTTCATTGCATTTTTGAAAAGACTCATAAACCGTTAAGCACAGATAACAGAGAAAGTTTTAATTTATAAAGTACAAATGTTTACATTATTGGTCCTATTAAAACTGACCCTAACATGGCACTCAAGAAACAAAGACCACATTTTTCACATATTCAGAAAAAGTAAATTTTTCGACACATAAAAGCTAACGATGTCTGAAACGTTAAGAAATATTTTTTGCAATGATTTTTCAAACATTTTTGTGTCATTCGCTGCAATAGCCAAATTAGAGGGAGGAACACGACTGCCTCTTTACATACGTACCAAGGCGGACAAAGAAAGACACTTTCCGTAAAGATCATAAAAGACTGAAAATGTGTTACTTTGAAAGGCATAATGATGTTTGCATTTTGATTCTGCATACAATTGTTGAGATGTCTAATGAAATTAAGAATTAACACTGATAAGAGAGACTTAACATCACACAGAAAGGCTACTAATAAATAAGAAAAGTTAGTCGACAAAATTATTGTGCAAATGCTGCTACATAAAGAAAAATGCTTGACACTGAATATACCTTAAGGGATCTTCTCGGTTATTAGTTCATGGTCACAATTTATCATTCAAAACACTGACAACTAAGCAGGCACGGGTCTCTTACCAAAAAGGCAAGGGTATGTGTCACTGACTGCAAAAAGCAGCACTCCTGAAAAAGGCTTTTCCAATGATGTATAATCTCTGATAACTCATTTTTGATGAGGTTTCGCCCAAATCCCTGCCTATTTATCTGCACCAAACACTTATTAAAAGGTTCTCTTCTTAAACGTAACACTGTATTCAGACGTTTGGGAAAAACTTTGCATTTTTCAAAGCAACATGGCTCACAAGTCATCACAGTTTTGTTTGAAAAATTACAGTGCCACAATGCAGAGCACTCAAAAGCAGTAAAAACAGAGCATGGCGGATTCCAACCATCATGTCACCACGTCTGCTTTGTGCTTTGACTTTTGGCAGCTGCAGTGGATGTTCCACAGTTATCCGAGCACAGCCTATCGCATCACCATCAACAACTAGCAGATTTTGATGCCCCTCAAAAAGGCTTTGGATTGTACACTTCTTCACTCTAAATTTTAATAAAATGAGATTTTTCCAGTCACAAAAGAAAGAGCTCCCATTGTTGCATAAGAGGCAATTCAGGAGAATAGAATTGGCATTTGCTCCAATCCCCTATCTTTCTCTTCAACGTTTACTCTGAAGAACCTATATAGGGTGAGGAGGAGAAAGATGAAGGTTGTTTAATGCAATGGAAGCTCTATGAGGTTTGACACTGTATCCCTCCACCTGGGTGAAAGTCCTCTTCTTCCTCTATGTAGTGGTAATGACGTCGCTGATGGGTGAGGTCACAGTCCTCAAGGTCAGCATAAATGTAGAGGTCGTCGTCCATGCTCTCAGGCTCGCTTTTCTCTCGTGTGTCGGGGAAGTACTGCTCCAGCTGCTTCAGCTTGTTTAAGGGGAGGAAGTTTGCTTCAGGGAAGACAACCTGTGGTGAACAGAAAACATATTTTTTTGCTCAAACCAATAAAAAAAAAAAAATTTTTTACAGCATATTAGGATTCAGCATCAAACAGAATGCCTAAAAATAGATCTTTGTGCACTCACATTAAAGGAGATGATGAGTCTGCCTTTTTCAAATGGTCGTCGGTGCATAGGCATTCCTTCATTCAGCACACACTTTGTATCTCCAGGTCTGATCAACTCGCCTGCCCAAAAGACATGGAGAGAAAACTTAAATAGAGATCATTAATGGAAACAAACAAAGAGTAATTTTTTATCACTTGATCTAGCAAAAATAAAAAGAATGCATATTTGTTTTATCTGTGTGACTTTTTATACGTGGGGATGCAAAGTTTGGCATATTCTTTTGTCTGATTACAGACCGGCAATTAATCATTAACCGACAAGCATAAAATGAAGAATGCAACCTATCAAAATATCATTAATAAAACAAGCTTCAAGATATAAAAGCTGACTGGCTGAATCCATTGAAAAATACCTGGTGTCCATACACTTACACCGATCAGGCATAACATTATCCTTGTTTCACTGTCCATTTTATCAGCTCCACTTACTATTTAGGTGCACTTTGTAGTTCTACAACTACAGACTGTAGTCCATCTGTTTCTCTTGAGTTTTTAAACACCTCAGTGTCACTGCTGGACTGAGAATAGTCCACCAACCAAAAATATCCAGCCCAGAGTGTCCTGTGGGCAGCGTCCTGTGACCACTGATGAAGGACTAGAGGATGACCAACACAAACTATGCGGCAGCAGATGAGCTATCGTCTCTGACTTTACATCTACAAGGTGGACTGACAAGGTAGGAGTGTCTAATAGAGTGGACAGTGAGTGGACACAGTGTTTAAAAACTCCAGCAGCACTGCTCTGCCTGATCCGCTCGTACCAGCACAACACACACTAACACACCACCACCATGTCAGTGTTACTGCAGTGCTAAGAATGATCCATCACCCAAATAGTACCTGCTCTGTGAGGGTCCATGGGGGTCCTGACCACTGAAGAACAGGGTAAAAGGGGGCTAACAAAGTATGCAGAGAAACAGACGGACGACAGTCTGTAATTGTAGAACCACAAAGTGCACTTATATAGTAAGTGAAACTGATAAAATGGACATTGAGCATAGAAACAAGGAGGTGGTCATAATGTTATGCCTGACTGATGTATACATACTACAACTGACCTCTTTGTTGCACTGAGAGACTAAAAAGTGTTCCTTGCATGGACTGTGGAGCGTAGTACTGATAGACGGGACCAGACATCAGCCTACATAAGAACACACTTTTATTTAAACCGATTATATGACCAAATACTAAACAGTGGCCAGAAAGACTGCTGAAATGACTGGGATATATAATGATGGGCTTCTGAAAGTTCTACATTCTTATGCTCTAAAGACATGCTTATCACTCATTATGGCTCAAGTTTTGGCTCAGTGTACCTCTTAGCTCTCTTAGTCTTATGGCTTGAATATGCTTACTTTCGAAATGGTACATTTATAGTTGTGTTGTTGTCCTTTGTATTGCTTCTTGCGTACAATCTAACCAAAAAAATAAATGAAACTTGGCTTGAACATAGCTTGGTCTATAGAACTAACTGAACAATTATTTGTTTGTCGGTTAACGGTTAACCAGGATGATCAGTATCTCTAGTTAGCCATTTTTTCAAACCACGTCACTGGATCATCAAACCCATTCAAATACAGTATTGTTTTACAATGACAATTCAGTTCTACAATTTTATTACTATAATCTGTGTTATATAACTGCATTTAAAAGGGTTTGATAACTATTCACAGCAGTTGGTTTACTTACATATAAATCAGCTGATTTTGGCCCATATCTGATTACCCTAAAGAAGTAATGAATATTCACAGAAGCAGTACATTGGTACAGGTGCTTTTTGTATTGCTAGAAAGAAAAAGAATCTATGCCTGTAATGTAACATAATGTAAAGTGTACACTCTATGATGTAGAAACATTAATGTTTACCTGGATGAGAAGTAATGAGAAGCGTTCTGTTGTCCAGTGTCTTGACAGGTTTCTGGAAACCACACAATGACTCCACAAGCTTAATTTCCATGCTCATAATCAGGTCCTCCTCTTGTCTGTTTGAAGCAGATCAGTAGCTTATTACAAAGTATGCAGTTTAGTATGGGTTGGGCAGTCTGGCTATTACAAACTGTATAAAGATCACTAAGATTATATAGATCTTCAGTTTTTGTTAATCAAATAAAATTAACTATTCTAGTTTATAGGCAGTGGAGCTACTACAACAGGGCAATATGACAATATTTTTTTTTATCATTATCATTTTATCATTGACATTGTCAGTACTTAAACACTAACTGACTGCACATTTCATCACAAGGTTAGCCCTGTTTTACTGGATTAGCGCACTGCAGTATGTGAGACGTTGAACAAAGAAATGGACTCATGATGTGTACAGCAGATTGTAAAAAAGTTTGAAATTATGTGATGATCATATTTTTGCCCATACTCTTTACATGGTTCTATCCTATGCGTACCTCCTGAACACAGGATGTTCCCTCTGGTCTAAGACAATAATGATATCTCCAGGTTCTAGGCCAGGCTCCTGGTCCCCTTCTCCATGAAAAACGATCTTCTGTCCATCCTTCATACCT